AAAACTACGTTAGGTGGGTCAGGGACGCTCCACAGTAATACTAAAATAATTTTCATTAATTGTTTTTGTTTATAAATATTTATTTTCTTTAGGAAATCCTTTCTGCCCCTCGAGCGATTCGAATTCCGCGCTGCTCCCGCCGCTAGTACTCTGCGCGGCCGGAGAGGGCAGTGCGAACCAGGTGCAAGCCATCGATGGAGTCCAGTGTACCCATTCAGCAGATGAGCGCTGACCGATCACTCAATAGTTGTCTCCTCTGAATGCACCCAATGATTGCTTTCAACAAACTCATTTTCACTCAGATGGGTTCCTGCACTTTTTACTTATCTGACAACTTCAAAGTGCTTTTGGAGGCAAAAATATCTGACACCAGCGTTTACAATTTTCTATAAGACTTAATTATTTAACCTTTATATCTTTTAGATCCTTAGTATTTAAATGAAAGCGAGTAGATTTGATAATACTTTTATATAAGATGCTACGTAATCATAGTGGACAAACGATGGAAAACACGGGTTTAAAAATGATTCAAGAGATATTGAATGAATTTAATAGTGAAGGACTTTGTATGGAATTCCGGCATCTGACGTGCAGGATTCCAAAATTAATACGAGCACAAATGCAAAGGTTGATTGAACAACAAGTACAGTCTACGATTTCTCTTACAATTTTTGGACTCACAATATTCATTGTATTCTTTGCTATTTAATAGGATATTAAAAAAAAAATCAGTAAACCCATAGCCCTAAGGTTAAAAGATATTTCTTGAAGATGATTCCATTTTAGATGGGCCAGGAAACGAGACAATCTGCTGTATTTGTTCATATAAATGAGACAAGTGGTGATGAATCTTTATTTTCTAAGAGATATGTAAATGAATATTTGGATGAAAAATATGCAGCTGAGGTGCACAATATGCGGTCACAAGGTCCTACTTTGATGAATAAAGACAAATCAGTGATAAGATGTGTTAATAGCGCAGATTTATTTCAAGATGAATTCAAACTTTTTCACATGAGAGATGAAGACCAATCTGAAGGACCAGAAACTTCGTCATTACAGGACGCGGCTTTCACACATCAAACTAACATACAAGAACAGAATATAAGTTCAATTAAGATGCCACCACATACATTGTCCAGCTCGCCAAATTCTGCTCCTCTGTCCTGGAAACGTCAAATATTCGAATGGATCCGTCAATGGTTAAATGTGATCCTTGTGATTTTAATAATCGGTATTTTGCTTTGGATTATGTTGTTATACGGTGCATACCTTGGTATGTCCATTTGTGCATGCGGACGCTCCTGTTTCCCACTCATGCTGTTCCAGTATACACCGACAAGACGTTTTCTATTTTAACAGTGATAGAATGAACTGTCGCGAGTGTTTTAAGATCCTGTCAGTGTCAGGAGTTGCCTTTGATACATATAATCTTTTAGTTAAGATGAAAAACAAGCAACTCCATTGTTTCAAATATTCCAGCCATTAGCTTGTATTTTTGAAACACTTGGCAAGTATCCACTCATTGCGATGACAAAAGGAATTACTGTTTCACATGCGAAGTTTCATACCTGCGATATCCAAAAATAGCCACGCCAAAATCACGGTGTTTTATGAGATCACCAGTTATTCGACGGAATCGTAGCTTTTACCTAAGTGATAATTATTCAACCGGAGCACCTGCACTAGTAACCATAGCTGTGCTGCATTAATTCCAGTTTAATTAATACAACTCCTACTATAATTGTAAGAACTTAAAAAAAGAAAAACCAACTGTCCAGAAACTAAAGCGATTATTGCGGTTGAAGATCATAGTTGAAGAGTCATATGGCTATACACTTGGACGACAGGCAGAATGATGGTTTTTTTTTTCTGATACTTGTAGTTACGGAGATCAAGGGTGTATCAAGGAAATGGATTAGTCACACGAGCTTTGTAGCTATCAGACTTTTCTAAGACTTGACACAAAATATATTAAACTCGGAATAATACACCGTGTGTAGCGTTTGGTTAGAATATGCGACTATTCGTTCTTGACGATTCATTTAAATGCTTTGGCTTCGCAAAATGTATGCCACTGAAGAAGCTCTGCTTTCCCGGCTCACCGCAGCAATCCTTCGTCTTTAGAAGACATCATGGGGCAATATTGCCGGGCAGTCGTGAAGAGTTTCATGAAAAATCGTCGATATTGGTCAGAGTGCTCCTGTCGTTGCTTTTAGCGGCTTGATCGGTTGATGATCCTCCATGTACGTCAAAACACTAAATTCAGCCGCCCTGATATGTCCATGTCGTTCATCGCAGATGATCTGAAAATCACAATAAAATACATTAGTACGTTATCAAATATCTCACTAGGTATAAATGAAATATAAATATTGACTAAATTTAAGCTTTTTAGCCATATATATACGTTACAGGTTTTGTAACTCTTAATTTACAAACTGTACGACTGGTCATATCATCAATGAAAACGATTATGCTAAATTAATGTTACGTGTTTGAATTTTAATAACGGTTTGTTTTTTACCTCTGCCTGCACTTTTTACACACAACTCTCAGGCCCGGGTATAGAGTTTGCGATGATGATTTCCTTCATCAAATTACGATCTGCTTTAAAACTAATGGGTTCCCATGATTTCGCAGAAAATGGATTTAACTGCAAATGGAATGAACATCACGTGTAAAGTATGACTCAAATAATTCTTACTAAAAGAATTGGTAATTGATGGTTAACTTACGCTACATCTATTCGATTGAAGTCCCTGTTTATGAATATCGTAAGGGGCGAACAATGTGTCGGGCCTTACGGGTAGAAACAGTTGCGGCTCGCGTTTTATTTTATCTTGATCTGAAATAATATCTCCCTTTAATATCACGAAGTGTATTTAAAGTACGTTTACGGTATTGGCGAAAATCCTTGGTTCATGATATAAAATTAAAAAAAGAAATGCAATGAATGATGGAATTTTATGAACACTGTGCCTGTAAATTATCATGTACAAAAATATCCTTTGAAATTGGATCCCTTGAAAAAAGGTGAATATCTACCGCCAAACTGGTGATCGGCTTCGTTAATTGAAATTTAAATTCGTAACGAGTTCAGGTTTACCTTGAGGAGACTGTATGATGTCTGGCTGATTATTCAAGGCATAATCAGTGACTTGCTTTAATGTATATTCCACAAAGTATGTGTGATCTCCGTGCGTTACGTCAAGCATGGAATTGTTTCTTGAGTCTGGTGGCGTTATTATAGGTTGTTTCATGTACGGTTCAATGTGGACGGGCGAGGTGGTCCCGCGACGTCGATACATCAGTAACATTACGGAAAGCACCGTTATTCCGAGGGCCATTAAACAGCCCATTAAAAGCAGAATTAGTGGCACCATACTAACTCCGGTTTCTGGAAAAAAATATTGCAATCGAGTTTAGTCGGTTAAAGTTACGGCAAAAACTGTGTGAAAGTGGCCCTTGTTACCGGTCTGTTTTTCCGAATCCCTTAACATGATATTCTCCAGCAAGGAGACTTCGCTTCTACCCTTGGCATTCACTGCATAAGTGACCAAATAAAAATGCGTGGCAGGTAGTAAATCAGCCACGGCTATTCGGAAGATCGGCACTTCGGCAGATATGCTCGATGCGTTTATTCGCAGATTTCCAGTTACTACTTCGTAAGCTTCTAACCGGAACTCTTGTCGCAGCCCGCCGTCATATCCTGGCACGCATTCGACTTCCAAGATTTCCGAACTTTGGTTCAAGGAAGCTTTTATTGTACAATTGTTAAGCGGACTTGGCTTCACTGGAAGTACACATATGCGTATAGTCTACTTTAGATTTCGATAAAGACTTGAAGATCAGCTTTGTTTCTGCATGACAGAATTCATCCAATCGCGTTCATCAGTTTCAGACAAGATAAACTATTTTACCTGCAGGAATGACACGGTAGACACACGGCGTTTCCTGTTTCCCGATAACGTTTCTACCCCAACACGTAAGGGCGCCATAATCCCTATCAGAGACAGGGGTATAAACGAGCTCACTCATTGTCCCGTTGTTTCCGTCGAATTTAGCTGGTGCCACTTCAAAATTTTCACCGCTATTGTTGAACTCCCAGATGAAATCTACTTCACTGGGATCAGCGTCGACTTCGCATCGTACCTTGACCGACTCTTCCAGAGAGGCGCCGATAATCGTCACTTCCCTGGTCTTGCAAACTGGGGCGACTAAACGGATATTCAATCGGAATTTACTAGTTTGCTTAAATGACCTTATTTCTTAGGTATCAGTCTTTTAACATCAAGTTTCATCTACTTACATTGAACACGAAGCGATACTACAGGACTCGTAGTTTCCCCACGGTCGTTACTCGCGAGACACGTATAATTTCCAGCATTCTCGCGGCCTATTTTCTGCAGCACAAGACTCTGAGTACTCATTATGATTCCCGCAGAGTTATTTTGCGTCAACAAAGCACCCTGGAAAACAAAGTGTATCACTTCTGTATAAGCACCGCATAAATGTTTCAAGAGCGTTTAGGAATCTTAGAATATGAACTACGTTGCTTACTAGCAGCGCGGTGTTAAAAGCACTACGTTGTTTGTATAGTTATTCCAATCACGAATCGGAGTGATTTTACAAGATAATATCGACATTAAGGTACAGAAGTCAAGAGTAATTTTTTTAAATAAGAACTGCTTTTAATACTACATTCTAGAACAGATTGAAAATAACGTTTCCGTAAGAAATATCAGTACCGTCAGCAGTACATTAGTACTATGATTTCAATTTTATCGAAGCTTAAACAACTTACGTTGTGTTTCCACGTGATTTTATGGTGCTCTGGATTTGCTCGAACTTTACATTCGAAATAGACGTCATCGCTTTCCTTTATGTTCTCAGCATTCAATGTACTTCCCAAGTGTAGCTGCACCTTCGGAGGAACTAAAAACAGATACCATGACATTATTTGTTTTTTTTTTATATACAATTTTGTATGAAGAATGGCCATGTGAGATGTACAAAATGTAGAGAATTATTGGCTCAGGATATTTCGCATTATTTATACTACGGATAGGGAGAAATTGTGTAGGATAGAGAAGAGTTATGTGAGATACGGTAAACACTGTGCGGGACAGGTGGAACCATTGTGAAATAAAGCAAAATTAAGGGGATGTTGTGTAAGACCTTCTACTGTTATGCGCGGCTGATTAAGATCATGCGAGGTCATGTTGGATCGTGTTATGTCAGATAGGACATGGTCATATTGGATAGGTCACGGTTAAGCAGATAAGATCACGAGGGCTATGGTATTTTAACGTAACGTAGGCGATGCTTGTGTTGGCTGAAGCACGTGTACGCAGGGTAGGTTGTACAGATTAAGGTACGTTTACGTGAGGTAGCTCAAGATAATGCGGACTAAGACAAGGTACCGTGCGCAAGGATAGGTCAGGATTATGCGGCATTGTTTACAACGGTTCAAAACCACGCGAACTAAGGCAAAATTACGTGAGTTAGGTGACGATTTTGCGGTTAAGGTATGTTTACAAAGGGTACGGCATAGTCTTGTCGAATAGGTAAGACTATGCAGACTAAGGCAATATTGTGTAAAACAAACTGTTAAGCACGGCATTATCTAGGTTTGTTCCGTATTTTCTTTACAATTTAATGTGGAAGCCCACAAAGGCTCAGTTCCAGGTCTCAAAGCGATTGTAGACTAAAATACTGGAAGATCGAGCGACTTCTTCGTAATGAAAAACCTTCGAGTATAAAATTTCAGGCTCAAAGACTGAACCGATCTCAAATTATGAGGTGGATAGACAATCGAGCAATCGCAGATTAATGTACAGATATATACATTCACTGTTTTTGAGAGAACTCAATTTTAAAGTAGCAACGGGCGGGAAGAAAACATTGCGCATGCTCTAGTTCGTCGAATCTCGTAATATCCCGTGTATTACAAATGTTAGAACATTAATAGCTTAATAATAAAGTGTAGCCTAGAATTTATGTCTATTACCCAGTGCTACAAGAAAAGGAACGAATGCATCACTTACAGACTACATTCAGCTGATAAAGATCCTCAAGGAAAGCATTCGACAGTGCTAGATTTTCGCCGCGACATTTTAGAATCTTTGAATTATCCTCCGCGTAAGGTGAAAATATCAATGTACTCAATACCGTCGAGTAGTTCCCACCTTCTTTCACCTGCACCTGAAGATACACAATACGATGAATGTAGATTCGCAAAGAATGAATTTAGTCATATGAAATTTTTCTCCAATCATTTAACATTTAACTCACATTCCCATTTCGGAACAGCGTGTTACCCTCCAGCCAGTAGATGCGAGCACGTGGATGCGATCCCATTGCTTCGCAAGTAAGAGAGTATTCCTTGTTGGCAACCAAAACGGCCGGTTTCAACAGAATCTTTACAGTCAATGGTTTTACTGAAATATATTACATTTAAGACATAATTTTTAAGAATAAAGTCGAGTAAAATGAGAGCTATGGATAACTATACATTCTGAACAGCTTCTGAAGCCCATTACAGAAATCATCTCGTAGACTATAATAAATAGTAATACTCTATCGACTATACTGTTATCAATGTCAAGTTCAAACTAAATGGCTTTTATCAACAAAGCTGAAAGATGCAATTCAAAAGCATTCGTGTTTCTGCGATGGACTTTAAGCAGTCTCAGTCTCAAAAACCATTCCTTACAATGAACGTCCAGGATGACAGTCTTTTCTAGGGGTGCTATCAGATTCGTGTTGGTAGCTCGACATTTGTACGTTGTATTAAGGTGCTCTCTTCTCAGCTGAGGCACGGTCAGCTTGTTAACAACGATATTCTGTTCGATCTTGGAGATCCCGTCGGTTTCTTTCCCGTTAACGAACCAGGTCACCACCGGGGTCGGCTTTCCTGAAACCGATCGAAGCCAGATCCTTCAATATGTACGTACAGGAAGGTCCAATAACGATAATCCACTAAGATCTAATAGTCCTCGTCACTGGAGCGGAAGAGGGAGCAGGGATTTATACGAAGTCGTGTCCTCGAAGACTGCGTTATTAGATTTACCTTGTATATAGGCGACCGTTGGATGAATCGTTACAAGGGAGACAAATAAAACCGGAGGTGAAACTCCTCGAGAGAAACGGGAAGGATCTCTTACCTCCTCTTACTTCGCAGGACAGAACGAACTCGATGCCGACTTCGACAGGACCCACGACGTTGTCTATCTCTATGCCGGAGCCAGCGTAGATCAGCAGTTGGTGAGGAGGAACTGTAAAAAGAAAAGATATATTGGCTATAAGAACGATACATGTGCATATCTGATTAAATTATTTAGTCATAACGACTTTTAACTGATACATCGTGTACTTTCATAATCGTTTCATTGAATAACTAAGCGCCGTGTTTACCTTCATGTTTCTGTTACCCTGTTTTTTTCTAAATATTTAATTTTTCTTTTAACGTAGATTTGTGCTTTGCACAAGTGAGAACAGTGAATGAAACAAAAGATATTTGGTATGTGAGAAAGTTTGGGGAATCATAAAAATCGGTAGAGTTTCACATGACCTATTGATTGATTAAAAACTCGATTACGCGGGGGAGAGAAAAAATTTTAAACAAAATCGTTGAAATTCATAGAACATAAGTTTCCGAATTTTTAAGTACTTTTAATTAAGTTTTCGGTGTTTGTTTTTAAAATAACATAAATGTTTAACATAGCAGTTGCATTATCGATGGAGCGACAACCGAGCAGGCTTACGATTTCAAACCCGCGGAGCAACGAAAGTAGAATAATTCATTTAAACAAGAGGTTGGGTCAGATTTGTCCGATTTGGTGAACTCCGTTCGCAGTTATTTTAGGCAAATCACATGATAATTTAATCGACTAATTCTCTCCTTCTCTTCCTTTAATCGTGACGAGTGGGTTTTTAAATATCGGCATTATTTGTGAACCATTAGATACGGTGCAATTAGTACACTAAAAGCAATTAATCTAATCCGTTTACAGGGTTATTTAACAAGGATGAAGATAAATAATTTAAGAAATAGCATTTCTCTAAAGGAAGTAATTGTAAAGGATATTTCCAATGGAAATGTGCTTATACGAAGGGCTCTGGCGTAATAATGGCATTAAAAAAGAAATCTGTCATCAGAAATGATAACTCGTTCTACTTTCTGGGGTACTCTAAATTATATATTGTCGAAAGATTTTCATTTTCTTTTCACTTCTCTGTCCTATTTGTTCCTTACTATCGAGTGTCACTCGTATTCGCGATGACTGTACGTTATATTCTAAGTATTCCCATGATCTACTCTCGTGTTTGGTGCCCTAGTTTTGCGAAAGCAATGCATAGAAAGCAGCGCCAATAAAATAAATCTACCTTCGTGTGCTTTTTCCGGTACTCTTCAACGGGAGAGAGCGGTGTGACTTATCTATCCTGTACATGCAGACATTTTTATTTACACGACTTCAAACTAACAGCTGTAATAAACATAGAAAAAGTGTTTAAAGTCCACCTGAAAAGCTTATCTACGGTAATATTACGGACTCCTAAAAGCCCGACAAATTGATAAGATAGGATATGGAAGAACATTTCCCTTTTTATTACCAATACCAGGCTCCTGAAGTACTATTACTCCTATAATGGACTGTTTAGATCCAAACCGATCTACGTAAATGGATAACTGTGAGTTACTGTCGATAAGCGGATAAATGGCATGGGACGTATAAAATTTGCCAAGTAAAGTCCTTCGTCCTTTAATTTACGAAACAAGCACGTAACGAGATCATGCAGTATCCCAAGAGTAATACCCACCGATCACCGTGAGGTTTACTTGGAAGTTTCTTGTCGGAGACTTCGTGAAGTCTACGCGACACCTGTATATGCCTTCATCCTCAAGTTGAACAGAGTGAAGGGAGAGTGTTGCTGGCTTCGTAACTGTTACGAAGTAAGCTCTGGGACCAACCACATCGCTGTCGGACTGATTCAGAGCTTTGCTAAAAGGTCTCCCTCGTACGTCGAAACTGAAATACATATTTACCATATATATTACTCATTTGTATTTTAGGGTCTTCCTGTAAACTGCAAGACGCGCGGTAAAGCATGAACCGCGAGGAATATCAAAAAGTTTTACCACATTAAGAATGCATACAGATTCTAACGGTGAGTCTGTATATTGGCTAATGGATTTTATTCAATATGTAAATGCCAAAGTCTAACTGATAAGAGAAGCCAATAATGTTTTTAATTCATTTGATTTGATTTATTAACCATGCCCGACAGCCCAAAGACCATTAACAAGGCACTCACACGTACAGTAAATATTCTGACGGCAACACAAATATGTAACAATCGCTATGGCAAAGCGGCCACAAGTTTCCTCACTAAAGGGTCTTTCTTCTCTACTTTTCGTTCTTGATGGAAAATATTGGCAAAATGACACGAGAACTTTGGGATCTAGAATAGTGCGCTTGTGAAAACTTTACTCCACTCAAGATTGCTTATCGTTAATGAAATCGGATGCACGTTATGCAAGTGGAAATAAATCATTGCTGTTAATGCTTTCCAATAATTATCAACAGGCAATGTAGAAACAAGTCCATATTTCAATAAAATAATGAAAATAACGAACGAAGGGATGCAAAGAAAAATACGAACTGATGAAAAAAATGTATTATTAAAATTTCTTATCGGATTAAGTGGACGATGAAAATGTTATTCCGATAAATTTTGCCGGTTAGTAAGAAAACCTCGCCCTGATGTTCCTTAGTTTCATATTGGTTTAGCGCATCACATACGGTACTTGCATTGATTTGACATTTGTTGATTCAACAGAAGCTCTGCGTTGAAATTCAGCAAACTTGAGAAACATTTGCAGTTTCACGTAGGAAGGAGGGCACTGGCATTTTGCAAAATGAACGTACTGCTGGGTTTCCACTGTTTGGATTCGGATAAAACAAGAATGCTGAGAAACGCTGAGGTTCGGGATGGAGTTCATGTTACGCGTACTACTCAGTGCGGGCTTAATGAGAGATTTCGAATGAACGTAAACAGGTATGTCAGCTATATTCCATTCGGCAAAACAAATACACGCCAAGCTCCTTTGGGAACAAAATGCTTGCGAGAGCTTTTCATTGATATTTATCAAATATTTATATCTAACCCCATAAAAAACGCACGTAACGCAGCGATTAGAATATGTTAAAAATTTGAAAATGATACTTTCACAATGCCAAGCACTTTTATAAATAAAAAAAGATCAAATATAACACGTAAGCGTGAAAAGCAAAAAATAATTGAACAATAATGCGAAAATCCGCTCCTTTAAAAAACATCACACTTTACAATAGCGCTGATATCCGTTCGTTCATTCATGCGTATGTAACAAAATGTTCATTACGGGATTTGAAGCACCTAATGGAAAAGTATAAAAAAACGGTAAAAGACGTCCAGCCTAATTCGGGAACGTAGATTTCAGAAATGTCGTAAGTTTTTGGATCGGACCCCCCTGGGCCCCTTTACAGGCTTACCAACTTCAAAAATTTGTTATTCCAATTTTCACATTAGCGATTGTGCTCTTTTAGCCTGTTATTAAGGTACCGTTCCAACTTGCATAAGGTCCACTTTTGCTTTTTTCGTTTAATTAGATCCAACGCCCAATGACAAAGTTAGAAATAAGTATTTTTTATGCGTCCTCTAAAAAAAGAGCGGTAGGACAAATTCCATGATAACGTAGGAAATTTGAATCTATACAATTGTATTTTATAGAATTGTAGAGCACAAGGGGGATCAAAACCTTGCACAGTTGTGCGAGAATCCGGTTATCCGGATCTTCGTTTCTTTCCATTAACTATTTTCTTCCACGTTATTTTGTACGTTATTTTTTAATCTTGCAGCGAAAGTCTCACGATTGAACAAATAAGATTTGCAGAGAAAATCCAGTTTCAAGGAAGGCATAATTGTTCTCACCTGAAAATCGGCTTGACCGAGTAATCGCGAAACCATAGCACCATGTAGACAAAAGTCTCACGATTGAACAAATCGGAATTGCAGAGAAAATCCAGTTTTAAGAAAGGAATAATTGTTCTCACCTGAAAATCGGCTTGACCGAGTAATCGCGAAACCATAGCACCATGTAGACGCGATCTTCCCGCGTGGACGGTTCGATGTCACAAGGCAAGGATGCGGTGCGGCCCAGAACAGCGCTCACTTCGAACGTGGAGACTGCAAAGTAGATCGGTATTTCATGAGGCGCGTAAACTCGCGAGAACGATATGGATCCCCAGTAATTACTGCGGCTTCATAGTTACGAGGACATCAAACAGAGCGGCCGACATTAGTCGGCACGCTTTTGATGAGATCGATATTACCGCTTGCTTACTGCCGATACGTAAAATTATCTCGCCATACGATAACACACGCAAGCAACATTTAAGGATGTCCTTATACCGTAAACGTTATGCAAAAATGCAGTCACTGCAAGAGAGACATCGATGAACAGAAATTAAAGCGAATAACTCATAATTTGCAATTGACGATTTTTTAGTAAATAGTCTCGGAAGCATCTAATTGTACGACGAATTCGGTAAGGTATGTATAAACATAAATTTTTATAAGAATAATTATTTCATAGAAGCAGTACCTGCAAACATAATTGTACAAAAATGGAAACGAGTACCGAAATTCTACTAAACCGCAGAAAATGAATTCATATTGTTAATCAATTAAGATCTTGCGCTTGAAACCTATTTAAACAATTTTACCGTCAAGAAATTATTCAACTCAACTTAAACTATGAAAAATAGCGCGGAGTGGGAAACAACTATGAAAGAAATTCTATATAGGGTAGTTTGAATAACATTTTGTGACGTCGAATAATTTGATCCACTTTAGGAACCAAGACTGTAATATATCCCAATGAAGCACCGTCGGAGTTTCCGAAGAACGTCCTGCCGTTAATATAGGGCGCTATTTGATTTTGACCTTATCGCGTACTATAAATGGGCCACTCCGTACGTAACTCTTTCAATCTATAGACTTTTCTCGTGCGGGGCCAGTACGGAGTTGTCGCCCGAATTATGTATTCATGCGACAGATATACCACGAATCGAAGTCGACCACCCTACATACCTGGATCGTCATCTCTGTCCCAGTTTCCGCTGGCGTTAACGAAAACGACGAAAGCCAAAAGGTATACGCTGAGCACGAGTCTCACGGCAATCGCTGTCAGAGTTGCCAGTGCCATTCCAGATGGTCAAACTGTCATCGGGGTCCTAACATCAGAGTCCACTTTAACCTGCACCGCCTCTTCAGCCGGCCTTTAGTTCCTCGAACTTATTGTCATCACACGGGGAAGAATGATCTTCGAAGTCGAAGAAGAAGGGTCACTCGAAGTCGAGGCGAGAGATTCGATGTCAAAGCACCCGGAGCATGCTCTCGATGCCGTCGATCGATCTTCGAGCCGTCGATGAATTTATCAATAATTTCTCCGTGCACGTAGTTTCTGCATAGTTCAGCCACGATCTGCCCGAACTCTTCAGGATTGCAGGGAGTGCTTACATACGCGCTTAGATTAATCGCCTTACGGGTTACAATCTTTCGTTACAAAGGCCGATGTCCACGCGAGGGTTTACAAAAGTCGCCTGGTTATTGTCGCTTAGTTAATAAACGATGCGAGCACGCTGCAGACACTTTGGGCTAGTTTTTAGGATCGCTACGAGGCTACTGCTTCCCTACGATTGCGCTCGAATTCCCCTCGGCCGGGTCGTTCGAATTCGGTCTCACAGGGGTGCTTATTTCATACGGGGTTTCATTATGCATTATCGCAGAGTATCGTGTACACGTACATGTCGGGTACCGACGACCTCCGTCGAGCACCTCCTTGCGTCTTTTCCTTTTGCTTCTACCCTTGCTCGCCCTCTCGATTCCGTCCCTGTCTCTCGGAACTCCGAACATACAATTTGGTCACTATTCTTCGGAGTTAAATGTGCAAAGTTCCGCGCCACGTTGGGCGGCTTCTTTGTGCTCGTACGTCTAATTAGCCTTTTCTTCCCGATGAGTTTCGGCCTGGATTCTGAAACTTCGAGGGTGAGTTTTTAGTCCCGGACGCGGCTCGCGATTAAGGACCTAATTGGGAGAGAACGTTCGCAGGGTCGTATATCGCTTCGGCTCTTCTATGATAAAGTAGGATATTCGCGTTCAGTTTCTCACCTCTGACCGGAAGTGCTGAACTCGAAGTGCGACCTTTGTACTTCAATTGTGACTTAAGGCTCCCTGGAGCTGCACGCGAGAACCGTGGGCTGTATCGTTAAGATTCAACGCTTTATGTCGCGATATATACCGTCTTCAACTCCAGATGTGCACTTCGCCGACTTCACAAGCTTCCCCCTGGAAATGTAATGGCTTCTCCTACGTTAAAGCGCTACCATCCTTTTCAGTGACTGCAGAGTATCGGTTTATGTCTCGGGACGTTATGCTTCCTGACGAACCTAACTTCGCCCTTATAGCATGCAACTATTTCGCTCGAAGCTCTCAAAGATATAAAACGTCGAGCCCCCAAGATGCAACGACTTCTCCGTTTAACGATTTCGTTTAGATCGTGCGAAACTTCGAAAATGTATTTCTTACGTTTCTCGGCAATATTACATGTTCGATGTGTAATAATTCTTCTGCCGGTGGTTGCAACTTCTGGTGTTGACGAACGTTGATCAAATCTGCGGTTTGAAGTGACGCAGTCAACGAGTCGTATCAAGGAAGTGCTCTCTTCCAAATTTTCTGATTCCCCTGCGAGTAGTCCAAGCTTCGGGTTTGCACTTCGTGTGTTTCGGAGAAGTGCATGCAGAATAATCGTGTCTGCAAAGTGCAACGATTCCTATCCCGTTGTATCGAGGCTCTTCCCTTCTTGGGAACCGAAACGTGCACTTCAGCGACGTTCCGTGACGGTTCTCCATAGACACGCGTGTGGAGCGTTATATCCCACCTGCAGGTTATTTCGAACCAGGCTCCCGTATTTTCTTATATGCCTCAAGCGGGCGAAACTTTCTATGAAAGATGCAACGCCTCTTTCTCGCCCCCACACTTTGCGAACTATTGTCCTTTTTCAATGTTCCCAACCCCTTCCGGAACTTCGATCGCGACTCTGGCGAATCACGCGGGCGAAGTTACATCCCATCTCATCTCTGCACTTTGCAGAACCGTCCAACGTCGTTTCTTTTACTCGCGATACTTTGCTCCGTCCTCGGAATTGCAATGTCCCAAATTCACGCATGAGAAGCGTCCGATCGAGTAACGTGCGAATCCGCAACGTCTTCTCATCACCAAGGACCATACACGAGAGGTTCTTCGCTATCTCTGGTTTTCCTAATCGATCATCGCGTTCGTTTAACGTTCTTCACGTTTACGCGTAAGTTTCTTTCTGCTTTCTTCAAGACGGAATTAAGACGAGTCTTCAACTTCGTCCAATTCGTGCTTTCCGGGCTCTTCGACCAGCTTCCTATCCCACCTTCTAGATGCTCCCTTAATTTTAATTGTAACTATTCTTCGTTGTTTCTGCTTCCTTTACCTTTAACAGTTTCGTACACAGGCTTGTAACTCGAAGCGGGTTCCCACCAAGAAATCTTCCCCCGGAACAACGATAACTTCAGTATTCCTCCCTGGCGGCCGAGAACTTCAGATCCTCTCTCCAATTGTCTTCGATAAAATACCTTGGACATTTGAAACGTCAAATTAAAACTCACGAGTCACGTCGACCACTTTGTCGGAGTTCAATGGTCACTCTCCAACATGGTTCACGGACCTGTACCTCTAAGAGTTCAAAGACCTATCCTCTGACGGATCTTCAATAGGCAACGCGAATCGACGAATTCGAGTCCCCCTTCCTAGGATTCCTAATAAAAACTGCATAGAAAATAAAGACCCACGAGTAGATGTCAACGTTCAAAGAAGATCCAACGATCTGTGGAAATGTCACCGGTGGGGTCCAGGGTTTTCATTTTCCAAGAGTTCCCCGATCACCCCAAATCTTCCTTCGGGATCGTTCGGCGGAAAGCACGAGAAAATCCTCGTCCGAATCTTCTTCGAAAAGAAAAAAGAAGAAAATATAATATATATGCGCCTCACTAAACCTTTCGAATAAGAAATAAAAGTTCACAAGACACCCGAACCGTCTCCCCGCTCCGGCAATCGTCAATCGGATTCTTCAATGAGCATGAGAACGAAACGAAGCGTCACGTGAACGTTCCGTCAGAATCGGGTCTTGCCCCGATAATTAGCAGCTTTCTCCCGGATGGCCTTCCTCAAGGGCCCCTATATCCCGGTCCGTGCGTTCCTCCCGCGGGCGGCGACGCGAGAACAGTCCTCGGCGACGCGACGCCCGAAGCCGGCCGTCGTCCTGCCGAGGGCGATCGATTCCCGACGCCGCTCTCGATTCAGCGTTCTCACCAATCGGCGGCCGCCTTCCGCTGGATCCGCCACCGCGTCGTGCCGCGCTCCCTCGGAGACGTCCCCGTCGGCACCAGGAGGGCGGGGAACGCGGGTCGCGCTCCGCAGCCAATGGGCGGCCTCGGCTCCGACGGCGGCGTCGTCCTTGCCGCGAAAGAGCTCCGCTCTCCTGGCCCGCGTGCCCGCGCTCGCTCCCTCGGCTCGCTCGGGAATGTCCGGAGCCTCGCACCTTCCCTCGGGATACCCGGTCCCGCGGGTGCTCGCTGATCGCGGTCGGCGCGCTGCGATGGCCCACTCGGGCGTTTCCGTGAAGCGATCGTTAGGCGGCCGAGCGCCGCTCCGAGCTCCGAGCCGAGGTCCCCGTGGCCGCGCAAAGCGTCGACGCGGCCAGCGCCGCCCGGCCGAATTATTTCCGCCCACTGACGACGCCGGCGTCGCGGCGCGCGCGGCCCTGGAGGCCCGAGCGCTCGCCGTGGCGAGCCTCCTCGAGGAATTTCGACGCCGTTAAAGGGGCGAGTCGAGTTGCTCCGGGCGCCGATCACTTCTTTGCGGAAATCCTGCGTGCTTATGGACGTCTCCGAACGGCTGGAAAACGCGAGCGCGCACTTCAACTCCCCGAGCCGCGACGTAGGAAGTTTTTCACTTTACAGTAGTTCTTATTATCAAAGTGGGAATGAGGAACGTTGACGAGGCCTGGAAGAGGGAAACGGAAAAATATGCTAATTCGTTGAGTTATGAAACTGTACAGTCGGAGTCCACTCCGGTTTCTACATTCTAGGGACATCCTGCGATTTTTCTAACTACCTGGGACAGTTGTAGATAGGAAATGCAAATGAAGAATCTAAAAGACGATGGAAAGTAACTTGGCTTTCGGGAGGATGTTTTACCGTCGATAATTAGTAACGATGATTTCCGATCGATATTACTCTCGAATTTTTATTTTCCATTTTGCTTCGACCGGGATTCGACCCTGATATTTTGCTTAATATTCAAAAGATGAAATCGGCGGAAGACGCGTAACATTTGTTACTTTACGGATCGAGGAAAATCCATCGCTCACTTATCTCTCGTAAAGGAGAGAGCGCGAATGGCTCGGTACTGACATAAAACAATTAAAGGAATTCGCCTCATTTTGCTAGAAGTAGAAACAGAATCAATGACGGACTTTTATTCGTGTCGCGTACCGAAAACTGTGCCAAGTTAAGGAGAATGAATGTATAGTTTGACCGAGTCTTCCTCGAAGGGAATCAATGTTCGTTAATTCATTGACTTTACAGTCTATTTGCTCTTACTCATTGGAACAAGACCGAGTGTATTTTTTATCTGCTTCCCCGGGACGTATAATTAGAATATCGTAGTAGTTACAAATACTCCATGCTCCTGAAGACTATGACTCCTTTCCACATATTTCCCATGTTTGCTATACTAAGAAATTTTAAGGATCACAATGGCCAATAATTGTGCAAGATTTGCTGTTGAAGTAATTACGAAAAATAGAGAAACAACATCAAATCTAATAAAAATCCATGACGTATTTCTTACGTTAATTTGCTCATGGGATACGCATAATTTTTCATTCCTAACGAGTTATTAAATATTCAAAGAAATATTTAGATTCAATTTTGCCTGCAGTGATCTGCATAGATAAATGTTACTTTAAGAATGGGTTCTTCTTATGCTCCCACGTTAAAGATGTTCTTACAGAGAGCATAGTCAATTTCAGTTGCGTGCGACGTTAATAATAAGTCGATCAACAAACGGCGTAGACTTACGGCTCTAATTAGAGTCAACAATTGAGCTACGGTCAGTATTAAACCTGGCCAATCAACAGGTACCCCGTCAACTGTTATTAACGAAATTCTTAGTTAATATTTTAGCCCCCTCAACGACACAGCCTCATGGAACAATGATCAAAACAATGCTTTATTTTAAATAACAAATTCTTCAGTAAATCACGAGGAAGATTGATTGATTATTAATTCTTTTATGACTATAAGCCATAACATAAAGTAAATCATTTTCTTGCTGAGACTTTTCTTGCCTATTTTTATTTAAATTACGTCTAATTTCAAGACGCCAGGCCTAATAAGGACATAAAATGCGATGTTACGCTTTCAAACCGAGTGCTGAACATAATGAACTTTTACCTTTCGTTTTTTAATAGAAAAAGATTGATGCTCACGAGGAGGATATGTTTCCAGGGGGTAAACAGTAGAGTATAGCAGCGGCGTATTGATTTCGGGATTTTCGTGTCTCCGCTTGACAGCCTAGCTCTTCGTATATACATACATATATGTACATACACGTGTGTATATATATATGTATATATATATATATGCATGTATGGATGCGTAGTACTTCGTCGATTGCGCGTATCTCTGGCCTCAATGAAAGCTGATGAAAGTGTTCCTCCGTTACGTTCAGAAACATTGTCATTTGACAAGAAATGTAATTTTTCTTAATTTTCTTGTACGACAAACTACGCGTTTGCTTGTAAACGTTAGGAATATCCTGTGCCGTTTGGAGTCACGCAATGCGTTTTCATACATAGTCCCACCCTAATAACGTAGATAAGCCCCTTAGAGTATTTTCTATTATACAACACTTTCATCACTAATTGGGAAAACGTGATTGAAGTCGACGTAAAAATAAAATATTTCGTGTCCAATGTAATAACCCTGTAAGTGTAACGTAATTTAATTTAACGTTATTTAACTTAGTAAGTAACCACCGAGTGGTAAAAGAAAAACACGGGTTCGGCTACTCCGTTTTATTACCGCCATTACTTCTTTATGGATGTATGTACTCCTTAGCCGGTTCCGAGTACCTTTGGCCCCAATGAAGGTGGATGAGAATGTTCCCGAGGCGCGTATAGAATCGACTTGGAAAAATATTTTCGGGTGAAAATATTTCTCAAAGTTACATACATACATTTCCCCTCTACTGGCTCCTTTGCTTTCCACCGGAAAGACTTCTACCGTTATCAGCGCGCGAGTTTATATTTTGGAATTCGCGCAGCGTCTCCCCGAGGGGGAACGGCGTATCAAGAGGGAATAGAATCCCGCCGAATGAAGGATTTTTTGCCGCGACACGGTCCATCGGCGCAAGTGGCGTGATCGAAATAATATTTTCACGTGGAGGGACCGTTTCCGGGATTATGGGTTTATATTTGCAGAGACGCGCGATGTTTTCGGGGGGACAGATAGATCGAGACGGACGGCCGGGTCGGAGGGTAGACGGGCTCGTTACTACGGCGAAGTTGGCCACGTAATTACGCCGTGAAGTTCGATAGCGCGGACAGGGTGGGGCGACTCGCGTAGCGCCAACTTCAGCTAAACTGTCGCCCTCAGAGATTGCCGGCGGAGATCGGCCGAGATCGGCAAAGATCGGCCAAGATCGGCCGGGAGGACTGAAACTGCGGAGACTCGTTACGAGTATCGGAACCCCCTTAGAGATGCGGGACGATTATTGGCCCCTTAACGTGAGTGCCGCGCACCGCTGCACGTGTCATTTTTCAATGCTATTTCAACTAATACCTTTCGAGTGATATCATAAACCTGTGCCATCATGCTTAGACGCAGGATCGATATAAAAAGGTACCTTATGATATCTTATTTCTTGTTCGACCTCGGCGAACATCTTCGATATTTTTGCCACGAAAAAATGATTTCATTGGGAGGATAGAAAAGTATCGAGGTGATTGCCGGAACATTTTCGACTTTCCGATAAATTCTTATGTGAAGATAAATTGATCGAAGACGCGGAGCGATCCTGTCTTATCGATAGAGAAATTACGATTTACGAGTTTATCACATTTCAAAGGCATATAGCGCCTGGGAATGAATACTCATATTACTGTATTTCTAAAAGATGGTCAGCATAATTAACACTTTTTTCACCAAATCATTCGAGCATGTCTGAGAAATGATTCATACGTTCATCCCCGAATTTCTCTTTGCGGTTTACGAATTCATTGCATGGAGCGTCATTGTCGGACGGGACGAACTGTGTGTCATTGACGTATTATTTGTTTTCGGTACTTTTCCTTCCCTCGCAATGTTATTGCATGGAAGGCCCCCTCCTTTTTTTTTCATTTATTTCTTTGGCTACGAGCAGCGGCCGGTGTTTCGAATAAGAGTACAGTTCTGATTGAGACCTCGGAGAAAGCGGTTCATTGTAAAACAGAAAATAAAAGTGTTGTACAAAATTAAGTTGGGGTACAATGTATCATTAACCATCATGGTGCTGATGAAACATTACTTGAAAATAGACATAACGCTCCGTACTGAATTGTTCGCGTTGTACGTAATTGATTGCATGCGGTAACGTGGGTATATTTACGGCACTTCATTAATTGCAAACGACTTCGGACGTTCTAGATTACCGACGAAAATAACCAACGTCGAGGGTATTAATAAAAAACGAACTGGTGAGAAGGGCTGCTGCGATGGATAAACTCGTTACCATTATAGCAACGTTACAATATTTAATATTACGTTCTTCCAGATATTACGAAAACACAATTCTGCGACACTACATTCTATTGTAAATAATTTCCAGCCTGAAGACTTACTGACGAAAATAAGTCAAAAAAAACGCAAGAAAAACTATAACGGAGTTAAAAAGGCTCACTAGGATAACTGCAGCTTTAACGGTAAACATTAAATTAAACATTACGTCGAATGAATTACATTGACAATACATAATTTTTTATCTTAACAATGACTAATGGAAAACCAATGAAAACACATTAGGAAGGTACAGACTTGAAGAGACTCGTTGAAAGCATATCAAATATTATTTAGCATTTATATTAAATAGTAAATTAAATATCGAGTTACAAGAGATAATTAGACGGCGCGTACTTTTGATTTTAACGTTTACTAATGATAATAACTGGGTTCATATTGCATATTACAGGGACAGGGAAACTCGTTAGGAGCCCTATAGTGTTTATATTGAATCACACGAGCTATTTTGAAAATTTGCAATTACGTAGCGCAAGATAGTTATAATTACGCCGCACGGACACCGATGAAAATGGCCGGGATTCGGCGAGGGAGCTGCAGCGATGAAGGGACTCGTTAGGAGTATCGTGGCCCTACAGTCGATAATTCGAGACGATTATTGGTCCGCAAATGCGGCCATTGCGGCCCGACGATGGAAGGATACGTGTAATTTAATCGAAGCCCGATCCTCGCGACCGATAAGGGAACGCGACTTCCTGCACCCGCGCGATTACGGTTATTAGCCGGGAAACAATTGAAGTAATGGACTCGAGTTCGAGGTCCGATGAATTATTCCTCCTTGTAGTTTTTTTAAACGAGTTACCGCATCGATTATCCGGATCGCACGAAGGAGACGCGTTTCGCCTCGTTCGTGCTCGATCAATGGGGAATTTCGACAGCAATTGCCTCGTAAACCTCTCAGCTAGGAGTTCATCATCTACACCGAGAAACGTTAGCTGGTAATTGTTCCTAAAATTATGTACAATGTTTAACGCGGGTTAGATTTGGATAATTAAACGAGGCGCCGTGGAATATCACGTCGGAGAATATCCTCAGTGTTGAATCATTTCGGTGCGGATATTAAGTAAAAACGTTACAAAATGAAACGTTACACAATGAAACGTTACACAATGAAACGTTACAAAATGAAACGTTACAAACTGAAATTCTGTACGCTTCATAACTTCATCTAGTAAAGAGGACAGATATCCGCGATGAGGGTAAATAGAGCTTACTTTCTACATATAGGACGATTTATCTGTACGTTCCGATACGGGTCATTTTATTCTGGATGAAGAATCCTGTAATCTTTCCCTCTGAATCACAAAATTAAACTAATGTTCAGTTCACATTTAACGTAAAATCACGTAAATTCCGTCAAGGATTACAAAACATTTTTCTAATTTTCAATAATTTTTAAAATGAACATTTCTGCAATATCAATGCACGCGCGCACTGTTAATTAAACATATTTAGGTTAGCAAAACGTGGAGTAATTGGTTCCTCTATATTATCGTATTGTTTCTCGTAATTACATACATTACATGAGGATTTCATTCCCGCAGTTACATACGTTATACACCCGGGTTTTCAATGAGAGTTAATCGCGCAGCAGGCTTATCTGAAAAGTGGTTTTTTTCCAGGAAAGTAGCAATTTAATGTGATCGCTGATCACCGATAACTATACATAACGTATCGCGCAATGATCGAAGGATGTCCATTTTATTTTCGGTCAATTGTTATACTGGAGTCCTGCCACTCTCCAGCATGAAGGGCTCTCGTACATGCATATCGCTCTATTCGGTAATCCGCCATGGATTGTTCGTGTCACCTGGTATTCGATCGGGAGTTGGCATGCTAGAGCTAGCATTAACGATTCATTCCACTAGTTTGTAACAAGATATCGGGAGGCTCTACAACACGGTGCATTTCGTCGATTTCACAAGCTACTCGATGTATAAAATTCGCAATATCAAAGCGCACAGATTCAGAGGGCGTTAAAAATACTGCGTCCACCGGGAGCATAAATAAATTTAAAAAATATAAAATTATTTCGACTAAGTGGGCTTGAACTAACACATCTCTGGTAGATACGTTTATTATAAATTATACGGCCTTTAAGTGATCCGTACATTTTCATCCTCATTAAAAGCGTGTCTCATAATGTTGTACTAAGATATATATTAATGAAGCAAAAATGTAAGTACTCTAGCGCTTCTAAATATGTTTATTGCAAATTCAACGAATATTTTTCCATATTCAAGGGAAGCTCCGTGATTACCGGAGGGAAATGCAGATTCCCTCTGGGAGTAAACATACCTGTAGTCGGGGACATCTTGTTAATATCTTGATTATATTAGAAATATTAATGATCTCTGCATCAAATTATAAAAAATTATGAAATTCATGTTGCTATGAAATACACGTTGATGCGTAAAAACTCCGGAATGTAATCTTTGTTAAAAAAAAAAAAGAAGGAATTTACAATTATTTCCTGAAAGTTTATCTGAAGAATATTTAAAAGGCTCCGGTACTAGTAAATGAAAATGCGAGATTACACCGGGGAATACGCGCAAAATATGTCAATATCGTGATGACATTTTAAATATTAATATCCACGGACTTCGAACATTCGAAATCAACGGTTATTTCTCGTAAATTAAATATTCTCACTAAAAACATAGCCAGCGAATTTGGGAAGTTTATTCGAAAACGGGAGTCCTTATTTCGGCATAAAAATAGATCGCCTTAAAGTAGCGATGCCCAACATTCTTTTTTAAATATAGGTAACACATCTTGTAAACTGGGCCATCGGCAAATACTTATTTACCATGGTTATAGCGATCGCAGACGGTCAGGAGTTGTCAAAGTAAAACGGAACCGTCCTAATTTATTTAAAGGAACATTTTAAGCACCCTATTTGAAGCAAACTTAAACAGCATCCCTCTGGAATACATCCTTTTAACTTTAGCAAATGGACAGAAAACGAATGACGTGAAATATATTCAAGATTAGTAAAATGCGATTTAAATTAAATTTCACCTAAAAACGTCGTTGACACTTGTAGATAATTTGATAATCGAACTACGGGAGTTCGATTAAGAGATAGATGTAGGAGGGGTGACGAGTGGGCGACTCGTTAATATCGTAATTATATTTGAAATATTAATGTTTACAGAATACAATATTGCGGCGCTAGTACAGTTTCGAGCTTCCGATGCCGCGGGATCGCGAGGATCATCCTTCGAGCTCGTCCTTGCGCGTCGGAAGTGGGCCAGTATGAAATCGCGAAGTACACGCACCTAGTCGGAGACTATGACAATTGCTCTGAAAAGTAAATCTCATTAATGCACAGTGGCTGAGTTATCGCGGACCGGCGATGGAAAACATATTGCGAGTCAACGAAACACTCGATATTGTCACGCGACGTCAAACAAGATTTCCGATCGATCGGATCATTGATCCATACTGGAATCAGACGGGATTCCCAGTCGAGATTGGATTACTACGCCGGAATCAAACGAGATTCCCGATCGGATCCACTCAGAAACGCGTATTGCAACATTTCATACGAATTCACGTACTTACGCGCTAGGTTTATTCAACGTCACCCTTAATTGTATCTCTAATTATGTTTAGTCGTACACTGTTCTATGGTCTATGGCACTTGGTGCGACTAACTCTCACACTTACGATTCGATTACGCTTATGTGAGATACTTACACATACGACACGTGATTATAACTGATTCTTTCGTGCGCTTTCGTATAATACAGGCATATTCACCAATTAGGTGCTTCTCACAGACTCGACTGATCGGTTCAATATGGCTGACGGTGTTTTTGGCAGATTTGCTGAATACATTATTCATTTTACCTTTCTTTTATCCGAAACGCTCTAGTTGAGTGATATCAATTTCTCGTTTCGTGCAATGCAGGTGAATCAATGGTGCTCACTATTCAAGTGAGTTCGGATATAAAATGGGAAAAGGTTCACGAAATTCGTAGAGTGTTCAAACCTACTCTTCAGGGAGCTAATAAGTGATTGTTTACCATGCGAATGCACCAACGAAATTAGTTTCTATTATTCGAGGATAGTACATGAAACCGTTTCAAACTCTCATACGTGCACATTTAAATTACCTTGGACCTTTTATCCAGTAAGGAAATAATCGATTGCTTGAAATATAAATGTTTATAACGACTTTAATATTTAATTCGAATTTCTCGATCCAATCTATCGTTTGGCCATTTTCTTTTTAATCGTGGGGCTAATATGTTGCTCAACGCCTGCTAGTCACCTGTTAAAAAGAATGTATTCTTTAGATACATTGTAGACTCTATGGGTAAAAAAATTACGTTGCCTGCATCGCCTTGAATAAGATACTCTTTAGTAATAAAGCAAGTTCTTATCTACCTTATCATTTACGCATTACATTATTTATACATACATCTCTTAAGTACAGCGACTTGAAAATACGACGTGCGGTAATGCCATTACGTCGATGGAATTATTACGCACGTGCAAAAGACGTTTAGCAATTTCGGTGCATTTTATTGTATTGGCATTAGCGTTTATTTTGCTGTGTTCATTGACGATTCTTGCCGACATCCTATCGCGTTTCATATCCCGTCACTTTAAACCATGCCTCTTGAGGACGATATTAATGTGCAAAATGTAAACTTTCTATATCCGCAATTTACATAGCCTTTAATAACCAACTTAAGAAGAAACAACATTTCTGGCGTTGGTTCTATAAGTATTTCCGGACACAAAAATATAGCCCCTCGATCATCTAAATAACATCATAAATAACTGATTTAAACTCCACAAGTGAAATATTTACAATTGACAAATATAATATAACACATATCAAGTACCTCCTCGTCCAAAAATCATTCCGGTAAATAAATAATGGAATAATAATTCCCGGCATGGAATAAATGGAAACCGATCGATATTCGACGTTCCTAGTTAAACACTCAAGTAAATTGCCTTTGTCCCATTTTTTTTCGCTATTTCAAGGTTTTCTTAAAAAACATTTAAGAGGCAGATCGGTCTCGAGGAGCCAACACGAGGAATGCCGTTTCATCTCGGATGACTCGCTAGATACTTAACGTATTAATTGAAGCCGCGCTTTAAGAAAGGCCAAATGATTAATGGAACTCTCGTATCGAAGGCGCAAACATTTGCTTCCTTTCGGCCCCTTAAAGCGCTTCCCAAAAATCATTCTAAATTAATGAACGTAAGGCGTTCTATACGAGCCGCTCCACGCGTCCTTTTTCACGCTCAGGAGATAAAAGGTCGCTATCTATAGGCCACTCCTCGAGGAGTCCTACGTTAGTTTGTGCACTGTAAATTTCCCCACCTATGAATACATAACAGTCAATTCCTACGCCGACCACGCGGGGCTACCATTATTTCTATGGTAACGCGACAGGAAGGCGCGCCACCATTTTCATCCCTCCAGAAAGCTCCGAAGCTTTCGCCAACTCGCTCCAACTTTAAGTTCTCCAGTATCGCGATGAAAAGCACACACAACGCTTATCGTGGAAACATAAGCTGTACATACAAGTATATTCAGGCTGGGCCACCAAACTTGCTCACCTCGGTTAAAACTGCATTCCAAGGAAAAGTTGCTTCCTTCGAAGACAGTCGCACCTTGAGCGACATCGTTATCATACAATTGCCAGATTACTCTTTTTCTCTTTCCCCGAAAATTTTTTCTCCCACTTCTCTTTCTTTCCGTCTCTCGACATTTGACAGTTTGCAAAACTGTTTTCGATAAGCTAGTGGAATAACTAAACGGAGCACCTTGCGTTTTGTGCAGATAGGCTTCATTTTCGCAACGGGGTTCAGGGTTTCCGATAGGGACATGCCATGTTACATACATTGCTGTTAAAGAACGCATATCTAATGGGATAACCACTTCAGAGATCACGCAATAATATTTAACGTGCATGTCGACGTTGCAATAATTGCGTTCGCCATGGAAAGTGCTTCTTTCTCCCTTGGGATGCATTTTAATGTTTGACGATTCCTCCGTTTGACAGTCATTACCAATTTAGTATCGCAGAAGACATGAGTATGGGAACGTTATAAATAAAAAGAAAGAATATCAATTTCGAAAAAGGGTGTGTTGAAGCAATTGAACTGACGAATTTCAAACTCACTACGCTATTTTACTGTATATGTCTAGATATTTTTTAAAGTATGCTCCTTTTCTATGGGATTACGGCACAAATAATGAGAATTGCCGACGCAGGGAGTACAATTCTAAATTTGGAATTTCCGGCGATTTTTCTAATCGAAAGACTTTTAATTCGCCGAGTTCCTACGCAGACCTTTTATTTAATTAACATATGGACGGAGGAAAGTTCTTTTCTCATCGAAGTATAACAATTACGGAATGAAACAGTTTCTGGCGAAACAATTTGTTCCTAAATGGAAAAGTTTTAACGGAGGTGCCCAACCTTATAATAATTTACGTATATTTACAATCATACTCGAAACTTCCCACTTTCGTTTCACGTATACCTTAATTTGGGTAAAATGCTTGGCGGTAGAATACGCTTGGGAATCATACAAATTGAGTGTATTGGCACCCTTCAATGATAATAATCTACAAGTATCTACGATTAATCATCATTTATACAAACACAGTCCCGTTCAATGCGATTTAAAAGCTATAACAGCTCGATTTCCGAAATCGCACTGAAGCTTCATGAATCTTCCCATTCACAGTTACATCACTTATTTTACACGAAATTCATTATTTCTATACAGTAGCAGTATTGTCGGCAGTCATACAAAAATCAACCGGATTAAATATTTGATCTTTACTTCGCTACGATACAGGATATTTTTCTGCAGAGTGATAAAATCGAAATTAATTGCACACAATTTCGAGTATCTAGCCTTTAATACAACGTAAACATTTAATGGTAATGTCGGAAATTCCATTTTAAGGGCAGGAGGTGAATTTAAACTTACGTGATATTTTCATTTAACTTTCATTCATTTATGTTAAATGAACGATTAACACATATTTGGAGAATACCACGCAGGTATAAGAAGCCACTACAAAGCACAAAGTAGATATTGATTACGTACTGAACTCTATGTCAAAAATATATCTCCATTGAAACATTCTATATATTTATATACAATGTTGTGTTTACCTTGCTTTTACCTTAGTTTAAAGAAAATTCTGCCGACGTATCTAAGTGCAGCGATAATGATCAATCACCTGCTGTATACTTTTTCCCTTCAAACCATTTTCCTACCTAAAGAATGGCATGACAGAGAGAATTTAAAAATAACAGCTTCCTCTCTTTGTACACGTAATTCAGTTTCTGTGCGATTACAAGAATTCCGTGACATTGATGAATCAAAAATGATAAACATTCTCTTGTATGTCGAAGGCCACGGGAAGTTTTGTTAGATACATGTACAGAAAAAAATCGAACGTATAAATCTGTTTTGCAGTAAAGTACATGGTGCAATAATTCCACGCGTCGCTTTACATTGTAGGATATTGTATCGCAATTCGGTAAGGAAATGAGAGTGAGGAGACAAGTTGATTTTCTAAATTTGCTTTAGCGAACGGGCAATTTTTCATGACGATTCCCTGTTAACGTCAATTTGTTATTTACTTTGAAATTGGTTGGAATGAGTTGTTTTTCCTGTTTCGGAGTCCTTTATGAGTCCAAACTTGCAAAGACTTGCGACAACCTACATTAGACATTATTATATTAATTACACCGTCTAATGTATGGGATAGATCCTGAATCTCTCCAAATTGAGCATTTCTCTCATTTTTCGGCCTTTGGATAATATTTCGGATCAATAATACGAATGCAGTTATCGCAAAAGAATTTAAACTTAGAAGTGAAACGAAACCACTCGAGAGACGAAAAATTTTCGGAAGTTCGAACTCGAGCCGAATCGTCCGACTTGTTCGATATCTGAATGTGTCCATGCGCGAATGCACTTAGACACGATTTCGCTTCAATGCATCCGATTATACACGAATGACTAAGTTCTCAGCAAAGTTAAGGAAATTTCCGTACAGTCGGTGCATTATGCTTCCCTGCCCGATTCTGGAATTAGTGCAAGGGGTTGCATTTCCCCCTAAGCTACTATTCCTAAGTACAAGTTGCCGAAGATGGAACGATGCCTAGCAACAATTATAACACCAGTAATAACGATCGTACCATCAACTGAACGATTAATTTTATTTACACCGATAATCTTCCAATAATGTTCTGTAGACGACCGCGGAATATTAAAATCGATTGTACATTGTTATGAGTAATTATCACGACGGTATAATTCTGGATGACCCGTATTCATAAAATGTATTGAAAGTAACATTGAAAAGAGTACACGCATGTCAAACTACGATAAACCAAGAGACATGGTTATAGCATTTTAACTTCGCATTGTGCGTGATTTTTTATTACACGTTTTTAGGCGAATTGAAATAAATGTTCCTAGACAGAGTAAAACATTACCTGGGAAGGTAATATAGTCTCGTAGTTCAGGTTATCGATATAGCGCGAAACGAATTTCTTCATTACAGAGGAATGATAATAATCATTTGTTATCTTAATAATTTGAGTATGAAATGGATTCAGATGCAAGTATATGCAAGAGGAAGTGGTAAAAATGAAATTATTCATACTTAATAGTTTTTAGTTCTTTTATTGTGCACATTAGCTATTTTACCTACACGTTTTACTACTGCCCGCAATTTCAGGTCATCTAAAAGACAATGAAAAAGGGTAATATATACAAATTAGCATTGATTAAGAATACAAGTTAAGTATTGTGTCGTTTAGCTTGCATGTACTCTTTGAATGTCGCATTTAACCAATGGCTTATGATTGTGCTACTCGTTTTCCTAGGTTATTCTTTCCCGTTTAATAAAATTTAACGTTCTTAAAATCATTGAATGAAGGATCAAACAACCAATATTTCTGTTTAAATGCCGTAATATCAACGACACATCGTAAAAATTTGAGCATATATTCACTGAGTATTTGTTTGATTATTGTTTCAATGTTGCAGCTAGTAAAGGTCACAACTATCTTCAAAGAAACAAATATCAAAATCAAAAGGTCCGTTGCCAAGTCAGAATATGTCGACAAAATAATTTAATTCGCGTTAATTAACGCATAAGTTCAGTTTGGCCAAAATTCATTGTAGGGCAAACCCTCAAAGTTTAAACATTTCTCACCGTTTCCTGTATTTAGAGGAAATCAGACGTAATAACGGTGGTTACACATTTATACTTCGCAATACTCAGCTATACATTTAATAACACAAATCCCGTTTCTCAATTAACGTGTCTCTGTGTGAATACTCTAAATAGCACATTCATACAATTTCGTAATAAGAACACAATCAAACGGATCATATCTTTCTTTTTCCACTTGCAAGAAACACGTAATTTGCTATTTCCTCACACCGAACAAAAGATTCATTGCAGTCTTATACGGAATAATGTTGCAATTTATAGCAACCAAAAAGATTTATATGTACTACTGTTGAAGACGCTGAAAAAAAAAACCCCTCTTTAGTCAAAATAAATTTAACCTGGCTCCGTTAATAAGAAAACGCTCCTAGTAAAAGGAACCCCATTTGGAGAGGATTTTCTTTCCAGATAGTTTTTGTTTCCAGTTTGAAATTTCCATTAAAACAAAATTAAGCACAACTTTCCCGTCTAAAAATGCAATATCCGTTAATAAGGACTAGACACTTTAAAACGATCAGCTGCCTTGCGCGTTATATTCCTTCGCGAAACATATTACTGTCGCGTGAAACCCATAACTCCTCTTCCTTTGACATTATTTGCACATGGCCCTCGGCGTAATCAGCATTTTGATTTGCGCGTTGGCGAAATCCATGCAAATCTCCGAAGCCAACTCGTCTGGGCAAAATACTACGCGACGCGAACGCAAACGAACGAGCGAAAACTTAAAGGTGCGTGAAAAGATCACGGAAAAAAAAAAGAAAAGAAAAAAAAACAGGATAAAAAATAAAAANTATAGTGGGCAGATTATTATTTACAGAATACATGGTGGTATGAACCTTTGCGAATGCGTGCGACGCGCAATGCATATTAGTCTATCTAAGGTCTACCGCAAAAACAAATCGCAACCTATGGCATCTAACATAATAATGGCAAGTATCTGCTGACAGAACGAAGAAGTTAATCGGTGCATTGGTCGTGGAATGAATATCAATGGCGAAACGCGGGTACATATTCGTAACTTTCGGCGAACAGTACACGAGAGCCCGTTACTTTCGGATCGGTAACCGCCTCTACACTCGACGTACTCGAACGAATTAATTAAAGAAATGTACAATTGCGACTGAGTGAAAAACGAGCCGACGAGAAAACAACGTAAACCACAAAATCCGATCGAACGACGAAGGGAATCGGAACGCTGCGATCGTGTATTTTTATGCGCGCCAAGAAGTCAGTTTCGATGCTCGGTATGTTCCTCTTCTTCTTCTTCTTTTTTTTTTCATTATATATATGTATTTATATCATGGAAATGTTATCTTAATTTTAAGCGTAACTACATTGAATCGTTATACAGTCGTCGGAACACAAATCGAAAGTTACTTCCAGCTCGTATAATATAACGCAGACTCTGGTTCGCTCCTGCTATCGTTAAAATCAATCGCAACGATTTACGAATGCAATCGCGCCCGCTCGAATTTTTAATCCCTTTTCCCCCTTTTTTTCTTTCTCAGGCACCGGAAACGTTCCAGTCGGTACTAAAAGTCGTGTAATACCAGCCGGGATTACACGTGATATTTAAAACTTAAAACACAACAGATTTACACGGTCGATTAAATCTTATCTCTAATACACATCCAACAAGTAGAAACAGAAACATAGTAGAATCGTGCTGCAGCCCTATCCGCGTAAGTACAAATTTTACACTCCTATGGAAGGTCCGGGTTTGTGCTAATTCACGATACATAAGCATATCGTGGCCGTTAGGTCGTACCGTGCCGGATTTTGGCATGACTTTTTCGTATTCCTTTAAACATTTCAAAATGCGTGGAACTGAGAGAAGCCACTTACGCAGTGTGGAAGCCACTGGGAAACAAATACAGTAAGAACGCCAATTTTATCCGAACACATTGGACCAGGTGAATTACAAAGTAATAGATTTTCCTTAACAATTATCTGTCCGGCCGAGAGTTTATGCATTGTCATAGAACAAAAAAAAAAAACTGTGAGAGCGCAAGAAAATAATTCCAATGAAAAAGGTGTATAACTTCGTCCCTAAGATTTAACGCCTTTAGACTTTTTCTTATGGGGAACCTTAAAATATATTGTGTACACAAAGAAGCACCGAAGTGATAAGACACACTAGTGAATCGGTGATAAAAAGACTACAGTATGCATTGATGCGAGAGTCGCTATCATATGGTTCTTCTTAAGCTTTTTCATTGTTTACTTAAAATTGTGTTTATGATTTCCCTTCGTTATCATTCATATAATTTTTAGGATCATAGTTAAGAGAAATGTTATTTTCTGATGCATGAATCATTAAATTATATACAGGTCAATGAAATTAAATAAATATTGTTACCGTACTAATTTTTTCAATACAGGAAAAATGCGATAACTAATAAAGGTATTGATATTAATCAGTGTTCGGATAATTGGCGTTCTAATGTATATCAATAGAAGACCGTAGATATATCGTCGGTTAAATTATCGTCTTTTCTAGATGGCTGCTGCGCAAAACAATGTGTTCAGGGTAAGTATTACTCAACACTCTTGAAACTCTGGGAAGAAAGAAAGCACAGACATATGTTTCAACTTATTCCGTTAATTTTGCGGGATTCATTTACCATGGAAGCCTAAATCAGGAAACAGTTGAAAACCGTTAAATTTATTAGCAACACTGCGACCTTATCATTGTTGCGAATGTATAATCAAAAAATAAATCAATTGACCCCATCTAGAACGTGGATTCCATCATGAAATTGTCCTACTCAAAGAAACATCTCACTGAAACTGTAGAAATCAAAACAAGATACCATCACATTTTAATAAAAAGTAGGAAAAGGACCAGTTTCTAAGTTTTGATAATCAAAGACATTCCAAAAGATTGTACTGAATTAGAGAAATGTATACATTCAATGTACAGTGACAACAACGAATATGAATAAATGGAAACGATATCAATGCATTTTTCCACATTTTGCGAGTGTTAAAAAAATACACGAATCATTGCAAGAAGACGTACACGGCCTGATACCATTTCTATCTGCAATTTTGAGACCTAATACAAATTTAAAATATTCATTTTATGTTTAAATCCTAGCAGTCACTATTATTCTCACTCATTACAGAAATCATGTCGCGTTTAATATCAAAACATAAAAACTGGCTAAGAACAATACATATTAAAGTATTTTCAAACGAAAACAAAACACGACCGTTCGTTCCAGAACTTCAGTGGAATATCAGGTTGACATTCAAAACGAACACAGATAAAATTCTTGAAAGAAACCATTCGACGAAATAAGAAAGTTCTTCTCAATAGAAAAAGATATCAATTGACACTCTTCCGTGTTGCATTTTCAGTAGCGAGAAGACGACCGCTGTGAAAAATCCACCGAATTGGCAAAATTGCATCGTAGTGACAGGCGTATCCGATTCTACTTAACGCGCGTTTATCACATTGTCTCTGCACTTCCTTTAGTCGTAAGTTTCGAAACTGAATCGCGATAGACAGTTATTAAAACGAAACAACATAGCATACATCATCACTCACGACACAGTGTTTCAAGCTTTCCGAGGTCTAATGTGCATTAGTGAACATTGCCTTTGATATCGTCTATATCAGTAAGCATTAATGGGTAGGTCATACGTAGTTATACTATGTATAATATGACACCGTTGTATATATATAATGGTATAGACCTTAGGTCCTGTAAATAGTCAAAGGCAATTTCCACGTACCACTTACCCACTTTACCAGAGGGACATACAAAAGTACTACATACAATAATGAATGCGATGCAAGGTCTTGCCAGCTCAGCAAGAGATTGCGCTAATAATTTCAAATCTTTTATCTATTTACTCGTATTTGCGTAGATGGAGGTTGGTTGAGTCTAGAATTACCGCTAATAGGCGCTTCTTTTAGTACACGCGCGTGCACTTCTCTCTCCCTCCCTTTCTCACTTAAGAAAGAGAGAGATACGGTTACAGTTATAAGATTAGACATTACCACTAACGTAGTTACTTCTTTAAAAAAAGAAAAAAAAAGAAAATGAAATCGGATTACCTTTAAAAACTCGAGATTACTTTGAAAACTGCTCCGCGGAAACAGTACGTGTTCTTGTATATAATTTTAGTTCGTTTTAATTTGTTTCACTGGTATATGCATCCTCCTACATCGTGTGTATATCGTTTAAATTACTTTATATATTCCTTCGCCTTCCTCTTATTATGCACTTTGCCCTTAGGCAGATTAGGACCATCACAATTCACGATGCAGCAGTGGAATCCGAGAGTCGAGTGTATGGACGTCGTTAGGTATTATTTTCTTCTTTTTCTTTTTTAAACCCCTCGTAGAAATGATCACACGTAGCCAACAAACGTTCCATTCAATTTTGATTATACTGGATTGCGCCTTCGGTCGATATTCCCGGGCGAGTTATACGTATCACATTGTTTAGACATTTGATTCGGGTTATATGTTTTTGTGTTCTTCGCTGTAGAACTTCGACTACTTCCGCCCGATAGCAGCAATCCTCCCATTTCTCGACTCGTCGACGTCCCGAGATATTGTCGAACGGAATCCTCGTGTTTTCAGTCCATCGGCTCAACGTGACCGTTCAATTCCACGAGTAATGTCGGACGTGGCACTGTTTTTTCAATGTCTCTTTACGCACCGACGCACGGATCCTTGTAAATCGATCGCAAGTGAACGGCACACGATTCGGCACGTCACACCCGGAACAATAGTTAAGTCAATAATTTTTATTCGTCGCGTAAACACATCGCTACTAATTGATCAGTCTGTCCGTGTTATACACAATTTACATTCGCGGAACTGTATTTATATTTAATTATATAATTCACCTCCGTGCCCCAAAGACGTAATTCGCCGTTGTATCGTAAGGCGTGCGCGCGTCTATTGTACACACAAGTTTCGCACCTTTTTCCCCGCTCTACGTAGATTTCGTATATAAAACCGAGGACGCCTCGGCGATCAACAGGCGAGACCAACCAATGGATTTGCGGGTATTTCTCCCAATTAATTGTAACCACCGGTTAGTTCGCAGCGCCACTTTAAATTGATTACGCGATCTCAGTCCTTTCCACGTTCACTAGTTTTAGAATTAACGTTTTTCCTGCGGGGATGGATACTGGTTGCGGAGTTCTTTACATTACCACGAGTTCACTCTTTCACTTCCGAAATGGTGTGTATATATATATATCTCTCTCTCTCTCTTTCTTCCCCTCTAACGACCGCACTCTAGTTGTTCTCAAATAAGTTGCAAAAATCACTTCGAGACTGTTTCGTTACTGTACAAATGACGCTAACAATAATTAGTACCTAAAATATTAAGGATAAACAATAGTACACGACATGGCAATTGTTCCGGTGATAATGTCGAAGAACTCGGCAATGGATTATTTCGTACAATGCGTTGGGGACTTACGGGTTCAGAGTCGTTTGATTGGTTAGATAAGATTAAGTTAGTTCCTAGTTAACCATGAGTGTATGCGATTCCATAGGAGCTGCGCTATCGTATAAGGTGTCCGTGTCTTGCGTTGGCTCACCCTGAAGTTGGCATTGGTTACTCAACGTCCCGGCGCCGCAGTCGCAAAAGAATCTGCAACGACGAGATCATTGCCAATTAAAAATTAATAATCACCTTCTAATGTACATTTTTATGTAAATACGCATCCTGCGAATGCTCCCGCCATTATTTTGTCTTCAGATTGAAGAACGTTACGGGATTTATGGAGCTTCGTCATTCGTTGATTGAATTTCGAATGTCATTTAAATCATCAACAAATTTTTCATATAAACCAGAATGTCAGTCGCTTATTTAAAACTGTTATGCTAATAATTATAAGTTATTGAAAGTAATAAATTAAACTATTATAAATAAAGTCTACCGGCCACAGTCCTCAAGGTGTTATAATTAATAAAATAAGAAGAATAAGGCAAAACCGATTTAAATTTTTACTAGGTGAGGAAACATTCGTCACCTGTGAAAAACCGAACAGAATTTCAGATCACTAGGCACTTGTGATCAAGTGCTCATGAATGACTTCTTAATTTTTAATGTACCAATATTTACACAGAATATACACCGTATTTTTTTTCTTACCTATCATGTCTGATGAATTCTACGTCATGTCCAGCGTGACAGGTTTTTATACAATTGACACATATGGCATTCCGATCAGTGGTGTTGCACGTTTGACAGCGGTAGAAGTCGTGCATGGGAAACGAAGTGTACGAAGAGATTTTATACAAGCATTGACCATTCCCCACTGCCTTCTCCACTGCGTCTTGATTGTTAAATATTTTATTACCTGTTTGATGAAGAATAAAATAAAGTATAACTTCACATACCCACGTCAATGTATCAATGTCAGAGATATTATTTCCTTTACGCTAATAACCATTAAAGTTAGATTTCACCTAGTCATGACATGGTGCAAGAATAATTCAAATTTGAATATGTACAACACTCAATTTTTCAGATCAGAATTAATGGTCTTTTCTGAAATTAAGACTACAAGCTGATCGTAGCTGAGATTCTTATTATTCTAATCATTAAATACTTTGAAATGATCTTTGCCTCCTTTTCTCTATTACATGATCTTCCACATGCTAGACAACTCAACTTAAATTAAACTCGGCGGTATAACAAAAGAGCACCTTATACAACGCGAGGGAGTTAACTCATCATTATCACTGAAGGGGGCACCCATTCGTGTACGTTCATATATATTCCTACCTCTAGTTGTCGGCTGGACACCACTCGCTAAACACAGCCCACCAAATCGATTATTGAAAATTTGATTGAACTCCAATGTGGCGGTAGCATTATTAGTAATCTCAACTCCCGCAGCCAGTCCATCAAAAATTCGATTTCTCCTAAGCACCGGATGCGACTGTGTGGAAATGAGCACGCCCGCTTGCGCATTTCGGAATATATCATTTTCCTCCAAAACTCCTACATAAAAATATTAGAAAATTAGGACACTGACATAAACTTCGATAACAAAAAAAAATTTACATTGCATACTGCTCGAACAAAAACCCTGTACCTTTTCCTCCATTAAATATACAAATGCCTCCGTCCCGACCGTCGAATATTTTGTTCCTCTTCAGCGTCGGATTGCTGTCGGTTTTGATCCAAACGCCCGCCATGGCGTTGTCGAAAATCTCGTTCTGTTCCAGCAGCCCCAATCCGCTGTTGTACACCAGGACGCCTCCGTTTTGCCCGCCCCATATTTTGTTTCCTCGTATTACAGGGTTGCTGCCAGTTCTGTTGAACGGAAAACCCCGGAGTTAAAGTAAACTACGAGTACCCGTACCTCGAGGAGGCTGATATCTCACCTTATTTGTACTCCCGAATAGAGGTGGTTAAAAATGTCATTATCCTCCAGCTTCCCGTGACCGTTGTCGTAAAAATAAACCCCCACCTGTTTTCCGCTGTGAATCCTGTTCCTTCTTAAAACAGGCGTCGATCCCGTAGTTATCCAAACCCCGGCCAGGGTGTTCGCATACACCTCGTTCTCTTCGATTAAACCTTGTCCCTTTTCGTGAACATAAATCCCACCGTGCTGTCCATGATGGATTTTATTGTGCCTAACAATGGGGTCCGAGTTCGTCCGTATCTGTATGCCAGCCAGGGCATTGCCGTATATATTGTTATGCTCTATCAGACCTCTTCCCTCTCCGAATATGTATACACCGCCTTGATGTCCATTATAAATCTCATTCCTGCGAATGGTCGGGTTCGAGTTGGACGTTATCCACACGCCGGCAAAATTGTTCGAGTGGATTTTGTTGTCGATAAACTGGCCCAGGCCGTTCTCGTGGACGTAAATTCCGCCGGTTTGACCGTGATGGATCTCGCAGTGCACCACCGTCGGATTGGCCCCGGCCTTCACCTCGAAACCGGCGATTCGGTTGTTGTGGATGTCGTTTGCCTCGAAGTAACCGAGCCCGTTGTCGAACGTGAATATGCCGACGTCGCGGCCATGGTGGATGTGGTTCCGCCGCATAATCGGATTCGCATAGTTTTTCACCCAGATGCCGGCCAGGGCGTTTCGCGAGATCTCGTTGTCCTCATAGGTACCCTGCGCGTAGTCGGTGACGTAGAGTCCGACATTTTCGCAATCGGAAATGTCGCAGTTCTTCACCACGGGATTAGCGCCTACTCCGGACACGCACACCGCTGCTCCGACTGATTGGCAAAACAAACAAGCCGCCTCGATTAGACACCGGCCTGGAGAGATAATTAAAGCCACGCGGTATGTTTACGCTTGACTTACCGACACTCGAACTCCTGATGATGCAGTGATCTACCGTGGGGCTACAATTTTCGCCGACCTCCAAACAGTAATGCTTATGGTGCGGAACCGTGCTCGTGACATCGGGAGTGAATTTTAACGTGAGATGTCCCGCGTAGGCTCTCTTGGCCCCTTCGACGAACATCACCGTCGACTCGCTCTCTCTTTCCAGAATAACAGACTCCGCGACATTACCAGGGGCCGCTCCGATTAAAGCCACATCACTGTCGATCACTAGAAACTCCCCGCGATACGTGCCGGCATGAAGGAACACTAAATGTTGCGGCGCTTCCTCCGACGACTGGGAAGTGTTCCCGCAACAATTCCCCTGGCTACTGCTCGGACTCGTGCTACTGTTTGGAGAAGACCCGCTGCTGCTCCTGTACTCGTCGACGTAATCCAACGCACCCTGCACCGTGTTGAAGTACGGTAGATTCCTCCCTTTCAGCTTCAACTCTTGAAACCCTGGCCTGACGTGCACCCCTCTGTACAGCTGTCGAAAGCTCTCCTTCCATGGGTTTGGATAGTCCGACTCGTCGGGGGATATGAATTCGAACTTGCAGGGTGCAGGGGTGAACAGCGGCAAGTCGTATTCGTAGACTTGTTGGTAAAGCGACTTCCACAGTTCGGTATCGTTAGCAATTACTTGGAATCGTTTACAGACCTGCGATACCCGACACAGGTCTTGCTCCATCAAGTAGCTGAATATTGTGAGAAGTACTTCGTCTGGTAATTCATATTGCAGATAGTGTGCAGCTGTGTTTGTATTTGCACCTGTCAAAAGATAGGTAGACTGTAGTTAAATAAGTAATAAATTGATTATCATAATTCTTTAACGGGTTATGCATGGACTATCCATGATGACATGTCGATGTGTAATTGGTAGACGATAGAATTTTGTATTTCAAGATGTGCACATTCAACGTGTTCATGGAAACCTGAAACTCACCATCTGTAGATAGAGAGCAAGTTCGCCGAGGTCGCTTTCTTGCAGGAAGAGAAGATGAACCAAGGGTTGCTGCGATGCTACTGCCACCGGGTGGAGGTAGAGCAGAGCTCGTGCCAGGTGCTGGGTCCGGATGAGGAGGACTTTTACGTCTCAGGTCATATGGAGAAGAGTGTGAATGGGACAGAGGAGATGGCGCAGCTACTCCAGATACGCTGGGTGAAGACCCTCGACCTCCACTCCCACCGCCTACTCCACCTCCTGGAGGGATTTGATTTGGCGCTGGACATGGTAGTTCGCATGGCTCAGCTAAACAAAATTGTAAAATAAGTTATTACGATCCATGTATTCCAATAAAATATAATTTACAGCATCAAACATTATCAATATTCCAAAGTTTTTATTTTATTGGCACACAGCTTGTATAATATATCACGGTGCATATGTATTTTTAATACAATATGTACTTATTGATGTCCTCATGTGATGTAACGACTCCACAAAAGTAGTTGCTTTTAATACGAGTCAAACTTGAACAGTGGTCTTTTTTCTTCTGTACTTAATTTCAAGTTTAAGTAGTCTTATATATGTTTAGACTTAAGAAAGATAAATAATTCCTGTTATTGACATTATCCGTAAAACATACTATGCCTAGAACATGTAAAAACGTGCTTTAAATACACAGTACAGCAAACATGATAGATAAGATAAAAGTTTATGTATAATACACTATAGTATAAATAACAAAATAGAAAGAATGTTAAAATAGGTAAACAAAGAAAAATGGTTTTACTTAATTACTTATATCGTTCCACAAGAGGCTTCACTAAAAGCGTTCAATCTTCTGAATCTATCTCTTGAAAATTAACTAATCAAATATATCGGCAAATTTGAATTGATTTAATTTTTCATAAACTCTGTAGCAAAGTTTTGTAACATTAAACACTGAATTATACAAAATTTTTATTCTTTGATGCTAGAGATAGAATAAACATGTTTTAAAGAATACTGGTTTGAAGTGTTACCTATAGTTTCTCTGAAAATAGTACTTCCTATTCTTTCAATATGTCTTAATAGAAAATATTTGGAATAACATTAGATGAATTTCTTGAAAACAATGCAACATGGAAAGAATGCGAACACAGCATCACAGGATTTCATTTCAGGATTTGGTTGTACGGCGAAGGATAAAACGGTTCTAAAAATGCAACATTATCAGAAGATGGAATAGTTTATATTTAGCAATAGGGTCACTCCAGTAAAGAAAAGATTATGGAGATTGTGGAGATAATGGATAAGAATTACAGATCCAAAACCAACTAGATTTCAGATTATATTCAAAAGAAAACGTTCTGCGACCTAAATTTTAATAACCGCCTAAGCTCACAAAGTATACTTCTTCAAACATTGGGCCAAAAAATGTATTAAAAAAGATTGATGCCATAATATATATGTAGAGGTTGAAAAGCAGTCAACAATTTCCAAAGACGATCGACGACATTTATTGAGCCTGCAGTGAAAAAGGTTGCTCCTAATTTCTAAGTATTTAATAACAACAGTGAGTGCATCCTAAAGATGTATGAAGTTGATTCGCAAATGCTTCCTAAAATATGAAAAGGATACGTACATCCAGAATTATACCCTAAACTTTGAATGCGCAAAGAAGAACAAAGGGATAGGAAAGAGTCAATTAAACGAGCAAGGTTAACAGAAAGATATGGCAATCCTTTCTTTCAGTATTTACCGTTCCAACCATTTTTGGAAAAAGGAACACGGATCCCATGAAACCGAAGCTTTTATTTTTACTGATCGTGGAATCTTGCTCGAAATCCCACATCGAGTGACCTAATTTTCAGAAATCCTTAGGGGAAAATGCCTGAGCGCATTTTCCTGGATATCACATCTTGAAATCTTTAAAACTGAATCTTTCGTCAATGGATTAAACACGTATTAAAAAAAGTAACAATTTAATGATCAAACCTAGAATTCTCGACATCACGATGTAAGTCTTCCTCGTTCTCTAAGCATCATCTAATAGCAAAATCATCTAGAATTACTCGGGACAAATTTGTAACTGCACTTTGGAGCACGAAGAGCCGGCCAGGCTCTTTGGACATTGCACCTGCATTCTTATATGCAACAAAGTACAAAGGGATCCAGAGAGGCGAATAAAGGGACTAAGACTAATATAGATTATCAAAAGATCTAACTTGTCCTTTTGTATTCAGGGATGGAACCATCTCTGGTATGGACACCAAGACTTACGAGGATGGACCTGAGCACAAACTAACCGATCCAGCTGTCGAATCTCTCTTGGAGTCCCAAACCAGATGACCTAATTTTTGAAAACCTCCAGAGGACGGCAGCCTTCCGCTCCACCTTCGACACCTCGTCTCAGATGCTAAAAAACTCAATACTCCCTCATCGAGGTGGAATTTCGGTAAAAAAATGACAATCCGAGTTACAAGATAGAGGGACGCTGGTCGGCGCCGTAGCGAGGACTCTCGCAATTTCCGTTAGATCGGAATCAGCGCTCGCAACGAAGCCGTCATCCTTAGGTGAATTTGGGGAGCGCGTCGCGGAGCCCGCAGGATGTAGGTAGGACGTCGCAGAGACATCGCGTCGGAGTCGGTTTGGCTCGAAAGGACAAAGGGCCGGGGAAGCGCAAGTGCGGCAGAAGGGCCTCGGTCGTCCGCTCGGGGAGTCGGCGGTCCCTTTGCGATGCGGGGTTAGGGCCGACCTTGGAGGGGACAGGCCGCGAGACCGCAGCAGAGGAAGGACACAGGTGAGGAGAGATCGGAGCTTGGACGTCGCGGAGGACTCACCGGAGGTAGTCCTGGAGGGCAAGGGGATCCGGTTGGCGCCTTTCCTGCGGGATCTTCTCACGTAGCTGCGCGACGAGGTGAACGAGGCGCTCGGCATTTTGGGCGGGGTTGCTGGGCTCGGCGACCGAGAAACGCTCGGGGAACTAAACACTAAACAATGGCGACAGCTCGACCGAGCGCAGCGGCCATCTTCTCATCGACGGTAGAGCTGCCGACTGGTGCGCGAGCGCCAATCGGATGAATCGGTGCCCTTCTCGGCCCTGCACCCCCCGCCCCGGGCCTACCAGCGCGCCTCCAACACGAGCGAGCGACGTCGGTATGGAGTTATGGAGACCGCGAATCCGGATACTGATTTCCACTGCATTTCCGCGATCCTGTCATGCCTCGCTCTGTCGGCGGTCTACGTCGCGAGCCTCTACGTCTGGAATTCGCCGAACATCAGGTACGTGGACTGCGGGAGCCTGGATCGACCGCCGAAAGCCCCCGTGGAGCCGCGTTTTGCACAACCGACGTAGGGAACGCGCTCGAGGCTGTACGCTCGCCCCTGGCACCTCTGGATCGCTCCCTTTTGGCGACCGGAGATCTCCGAAAGCGTACGCTCGCCGTAACTGTATCCGACTACGATTCACCCCGCGAGACACCGGGAGGGAGCGTGAATGGCCGAGACGCGACAGTAGCGGGCTGAAGCGGTCATCCGACGAACTTCCGCGGCTGAACAGGCTCCATCTGCGCGGCGCCATTGCAGCAGCGGCGGGTGTACCTCTATTGGCTGCTCTACCGAAATCGATCAATCGGAGGCGAGATCTATCGAGGACTGCCAATCCGTAGGGGGACGACTTTCGACCGTGGCGTGAGATTCGAGTACCGATTTCCGAGATTAAGTGGCGGGTTACTTTGAATCCTCAACGCCGATTAAATCGTGTTAAATGGGGAGGGTCATTTAAATTAGTAGCGGACTTTGATAAATATATATCGATTCAATTCTAAATTCAAGGCATATATTACAGAAATTTTCTTGGTCGTTTTTCAGTGATCATCCAAGCACGATAAAGAGAAGGTTTATTAGTGTTTTCATTATGTCATATATTTCTCCCACGTTCATGTACTTTGGGATGAATGAAACAAATTTACAGAAGGTATTTATATAAATAAAAATACTAATAATGCTGGAGTGTCCGATAAGTTGACGTGCATTTTCTTAATTCTTAAACTTTCCCAGCCTTCACCATATAGTATTTATAGTAATACCACTAGGATAAATCTATGTAGATTATTAATCGCTTAACCGGTAGTTCAAATAAACATTTGAACAATGTGTTCAAATATTAAAATATTATTACTTGCAGTGGCAAGTAGTCATAATTGTAATCGATGACAAATAGAAACATTTTCCTTGGGAGTATAGGTAGAGTTAGATTATCTACCACACTTGTTTAGAAGCTTAATATTTCTGATTTTTCAAACAATGCAAAACCATCGGACATTCTGCATGCGTATTAACAAATTATTCTTTAAATAAGAAACAAATGCATATTGCCATATTGCATAATTCTACATATTTTAATTAGTTATTTACAGATTGTTACAATTCTAGGCAACAATTTGGGAGCTGTTAGGTTTAAGGTGGTCGGGTCTGCTTCAAGCAATCGTGATCCCATGGATCCTTACGATGATTTTATTCCTAGGACCATTATGCATGCAGGGTCTTAATGGGTTGTGGCGATTATATACTGGTTGGTACAAATATTTTTAATATTCTTACACACTAGTCGATCTTTTGAAAATTAATTTCTTTTCGTAAACAAATGATCAAGTCTTTTTTCGATTATCTTTAACACGTGAATTGATGAGGTTATCCAAAAAAGCAATGCTGACTATTGTAAAACCAGCGATTTTTATTTTCTCCTAACAATATTGCTGGTTAGCTGCAAATCTGTAAAATAAAATAATCTTAATATGTGGTAAATAATAATTCTAACATATCATTTACTTTTGTAGAACCGATGTACTGGTTAGGCAACGCTAAGACGTTAAAGTGGTGGAGAAATCAAGTGGTTGCTCCTCTATCAGAAGAGTGGACATTCAGAGCGTGCATGCTGCCATTGCTCTTACAATGTTTTGCCCCAACAACTGTCATTTTTATATGTCCATTGTTTTTTGGATTAGCACATTTTCATCATATCATGGAACGAAGAAAGTTGGGGATACAGCTGAAGCACGTTTTGGTTATGTCCTGTAAGGAGCTTTGGAATAATACAGTTCTGAGTGAATATTTAAATGGATGCAGTTAAGAATAGGAATAATGGTGTTTATCTAATTTAGGTTTTCAGTTTGCCCAGACAACGATATTTGGAGCATATGCTGCTTTCTTGTTCATAAAGACTGGTAAATGAAATTACTTTATTATTATTAAATGTAAAGTCTTCTCTCATATATATTTGCTAATATACAAATGGTACTCTTTCTTTCTCTTGGGCAATTTCAGTGAAATTCTTCAAATATATTCAACAAAATAATTTGTAAGAATATAAGTGGGCAACTTGTTATTTAATTACTTTGGGAATAAGAGTGTAATCAATTTCATCAGAGTTCTTGACTTAATGTACTATATACTTAATGTAATATTATAGAATCACTGTTTTGTTCTTTCTGGATATGGAAATTTCTAAATTACTTCATTAAATGAGGAAATGTTTAGAGTCCTCAGCAATATTCAATTGGTAAATTAATTGATTGATTTCAAAGTTCATTAAAGCCACAAACTTTACTTGTTATATTAAGTATATTATGTTTTACAGATCATTTTTAGTTTTGATAAATTGGAATACCTATTGTCTAATTCCGCATTAGACTGTTGGAGGCAATAACATAGCAATGCACACAGTAAAGCGGTATACGTCCTAAGTTCTGGGCCTAAAGTATGTGATTATTTTACAGGTCATTTAGTAGCACCTGTCGTTGCCCATTCATTTTGTAACCATATGGGTGTCCCCAATGTTATGGAAATTGCCACATACAAGGATCCATTCAAGAGAGTTGGGCTGTTTTCCTTGTTTGTATTTGGATTACTAGCGTGGTGCTTCTTACTTACACCTTTGACGAATCCAACGTTTTTTAACAATAACTTATTCTGGCACAAACAGTTGCTATGAAATGTTTAACTTTATTATCAATAATAGAATGAATTGAGGATTTTTATTATAAACTAAAAAATTGTATTAGGAATAATGATGCATCTGCATCGCAGGTGCTCCTAGCTCTTCGATAACTTGAATAATTTGTACTTCTATAAAAAATGTATCACTTTGATCACAGTTCAAACCATTCTTCTTAGGCTGTTAATGTTGGATACGCTTTGTCTACAACGTATAGTCCGTGAGTTAACTAATATTACTGATGTATTTATAGTTATGCGTATTACTAATTATAAAAGTACCGTAAAGCCTCGAAAAAGTTACACAATCTTTTTTGTGTGTAATATCGAATGTCAAAGAGTGCGTTAGAATGAAGATGATAACTGAGCGAACCGGAAACATGCCAAAACTGACGATTTATGACTCGCTATTAGCGATTAAAACATTACTTGTTATAACATTGTAACGTTAAGAATTTGTACCTTATTCTATTTTAAATATCTTAAAACAGAACCACGTCTCTATATATATTTAATGGTATCACCTGTCAGAGAATCAGAGATACCGATTATGTACTTCAGTACCCTACACATGTGTTTGTACATATGTAGCGTAATATGACAGAACTAGAGTAATTCATAATGAGATATGTAATTCTGAGTATATAATACTCAGAAACGGTTTTATATTTTTAATTGACTTCATTCTTACTTCTAACCACCTTTTCTGTAAATCACAATAACAACAGTTACAACAGTACGATATTATATTTTAAACATTTGTATTCAGCGCAAACGTAACAAAAATATATAAGTACTTATATTTTAGAATAGTTTTGCAGTTTTTGACCAATAAGTCTTCATGCCTGAAATATGCTTCGACCTCTGACAAAGCCTCTTACATTCAATGAAATAGGAAGGATGAGTACAATTTTATTACTTAGGTTTAAAAAGATCATAGCTATAAACTATAACTTTCTATATTAATTACTAAGTGCATCGATATTTCTCTTTTGAAATTCATGAAAACCAGTTACAACCTTTTTTTTATTGAAATAGTAAGTATGTCTAAACACTTTTCTGCAATTTAAAACAAACAAGTGTTTTAACTCTAATGGACATAACATTTTTGAGAATGTTCAAATGACTTTATGATATGAACATTACAATTGATTTCGTACTTGCAATCGTACATCATTTCTACACAAAGCGAACACCTAGCAGAGACAAAGAAGCTATACCAGCTGCTTGTTAAAAAAAAAAACTGCTTTATGAAAACATGATCTTCACATTCGGACAAAAACTCGTATTTTTTATATACATAAATGTATCTACATTAATTCTTTAATAATTAGTTGCATTAAAAATGCAATTCCTTTACACATCTTGCATAACACCTATTATTCTATTCCATATGTACAAAATACACTGTAGACATTCAAACAATGTTACAAATATGTACAAAAACTATAAACAAAGCAATGCTGTGAAAATTACGATTATAGGTCGTTGAATCGAAAATCTTATGCTCTAAATTACGCATTACAACCAGTCACTGAATTGAGCATTGAATACAACGGCTTTTGACACTCTGGAGAAAAACTGTTGAACTAGATATTATTTAATTTTGCATTACTAATGATACAGTTGTTTATTTTATGCCCTCATTTTTGTTTTCTTTCTTTTTAATGAATCATTGCTTTTAATAATTGCATTTCACTAATATGACAGCTTAACATCTGTATTACTATTTTGTTTGGCACAGGAAGTTTCTAATTCAGTTTACAGTCATTTTAGAACATTGTAATAACATCTAAAATGAAATGTCGTAACCTTCAATTTTAAGAATACTATCGTGAGCATTTTTTATGTTTTGATATGCTATATCCCGTCAATGCAAAAGTTCAGTTGATTGGATTTTCTAATTTGTATCTTTACATCGTTTCCATTATAAAGTACAATAGTAAAAGAGTTAAATTCGAAGTATTTGTAGGTTGTCTGGTAATACGCTATGCGTTGGAGTCTTTACTCTACGCTCTAATAAAAAAATGACTATTTTTATTTACAAATAATACAAATTGTGCACTTTCCCCTTAACACTTGGCCCTTGCAATAATAGCAGCAAAATATTTAGAGCAAAGCGAATCATGGTTGATAAATAAATTTGAATGTCAGTTCTGAGTCTCGTAAAGTCCTGAAGAAATATCAGCTGCGAATGCATGACAGCATAGGACAATACCTTTTTCAAGGTTGACTCGGGCCAGGAGCTGGTTCAGCATTTTGAGATTGATTCAAAAAAAGCACATTGCTTGCCTTGAGTCTTGGTCCTGCTGCGACTAGTGAAGGACATGGGCTAATACATGGTGTAGAGCAGTGGCTGTTGCTTAAATCACATTGGTCTAACAATTTCCATAGTTCTTCTGGGGTTGGTCCACCAGGTGCTTCTTTGGCTAAAAAATAATTACTCGTTATTTTATTACGTTTTACTGATGTGCTACTGATTTTTTTTATTTACGGACTTTCATAAGAATTCACAGTAATAATAAACATGGTAAGTATGATGTTTAAGCAGGAGCAAAGTGCCTAGTTTTCTCTACTGTTTCGATGATAAATAATTAAGAAGTGAATTTACCTGAATCCTTTTTTGGAGAGGGATTTAAGGCTGTAGTGAGATCCCACATTTGAACGGCGCCGTTAGAATGCCCCGTAAAAATGAAACGCCTGGGTCTTGAGCCCATTCGACTGGATCCTTCACACTCATGGACACAAAAGGAACTAATTACGCTGCCATCCACAGATTGAATCACGCAAACTCTTTTACCATTGGAAGCTAATCGTACGAAGAGTTGATCAGTTTCTGGTACTACTTTTTGTACAAAAACTTGCTCATCATCCTGCTCACCAAAGGGCCCTGAAAGTATAGAAAAAGTCTTATAGTTTTATAATCCCTATACAACGATTTCAAAGAAGCTTAATGATCCAAATGTTTCTATATCAAATCAGTTATTCGATATATTTTTTTTAGAAATAAACTGTTACTTAATACAATAATTTCGTCAGTGGGTATAAAAAAAAAAGTGATAACAGTGAAAATAAACCTTTGAATAAGACAATTCACTTATTCTTACGTACCGAAATCATTTCCTACGCTATAACTAACGCAAGGATCAACTGCGTCTAAAGATACTATTTTAAAGCTTGCTTCAGGTGTGGAACCAGGTTGAGTTGAGATCATGCCACGAAACCTCCTTACAGCCCAACTCCTTACGTGGTTATACTCTGAGCAAACGGATACCAAATATTTTTCGGAAAGAGTCACCTAGTACAAGATATATAAAGTTTGTTAAATTTTACAACATATATATAAAAAAGTTAACACATCCAGTACAGATAATGGTGATATTGAGATAGTATTATGAAGCTTCAATTGTTTAGGTTATTTACTTTTGTGACACTGCTCTGATGTACCGTGAATGTTTGGAATAGTTGAGGCCCATGACCCACAGTTTCTGGATGCTGTACAATAACTCGTACACTTCCTGATTTTGTTCCATATGCTATCTCAATCCAATTTCCACACAGACCTGCAATGCGGGATAGGAAATCTTCTGATGACAAAATGTCATTAGTATTGTATACAACATGTAAGAAGTAACATAGCTACAAAAATCATGAGGATAACATGAACGGAGTGTGAGGGCAATTGGTAAGTATTACATACGAGCATTACGTGAATTTTCTAAACGTTTATTATACATACGAGTAAAACCTGCGTTCTAATAATAACTATTAAATAGCTAATAATACATGCATAGCTAAATCGAAATAAGTATTAAAGTATCTTAATATTCTGTTGAAATTATGTGCTGACAGTTACTCTAGAAAAATGAAATGCTTCTTTCTCTCAATTTGTTTAAAATGCTATGTTTGCTAATAAGCATAAAAAATTAAATATTAATAAAAAGCAATTAAGCGTTATTCATAAAATATCAATAACAAAATTTCAGCAAATAGTCAGCACAATTTCAGTGGATCGTGAAGTATTTAGAAACGTATTCACCAATCAAGTTTTACTCTAAGTTTGATTAAATTATGCAAAACTTTGTTAAAAACGTCTCATTAATTCGTAAAACGTCATTAATGGCATTTTTTAAATGGGAATGTTAAAAAAAAGTATATTTATGGGCAGTTATACATCTGATTAGAATGTATTTGAATGTGAAGCATTGAAGCAAGCGAACGTGCAGGAATCTTAATAAAAAATCATTGTAAAATTGATCTTTTATAGTTAAAGTAATAGTGTTAGTGCTTGCAGTTATTACAGATGACGCGAATCTTTCCAAAGATAACAGAGAAATCCTAAAATTTTGACGTTTCAAAAGAAAATGACTGTACAAGCAGAAATACTTTTGTTGTCTATTACCTTCCCTCCCCCTCTCAGATGCTGGCATGGAAAATAATGCTATGAATAGGGAGGGCAAGCAGGGAGCGCTAGTCATCGACCCGAATTAACGAAAATAAAATTTGAAAGGAACTATTGCATGAGGCAAGAATTATAACAGGATTATATCAAAGTGGTACACATGATTTGCATCGGTACAACTGGATGCATAATTGTAGCAGAGTGCAGCTTGCCATTGAGATCCAAAGCCACGATACACATGTACGTTGTTATGTCATTGTAAAGACAAAGCCTTAAACTACAATGTGATGTGCGTGGGTTCACGAAAACTAGGCCTCGGGCCTTCAATATTTGAAGAAAATGCTGGATAATAACAGTAAGGATGGGGAAACTTACAAACTTAAACATATATATATGCGTTAAATGCGTAATGTGAAAATGTGGTATATTCAAAATTGACACTCATTTCAAACAAATTGACTCATACTTGCCTTGTGCTATGTATCCAGTTGTACGGTAAGAAATCACAAAGCAAAAAATGTAACGATAAATTTCAATTATTAATCATTATAGGATAATGATCCTAAATTGTATATGTATTTTGACAAAATTGCACGATACTGATATATGGTACCTATAGTGAGTGATCAAGATGGCAAAGCGTGAACACATTTTGCAATCTGACAGTCATGAATGAATTCTTCACGATTATCGGGCCGAATAACAAGGAGAAAAATAGCGTGGAAAAGTAGTGGCTATAAGTACAGGAATAGTTGTCAACTTATGTTGAAAATTATATATTTGCTAAAGGCTCAATTTAACAAAGTAAAGCGTTTTTTATTAAGATTGACTATTTTGCTGAGAATTTTGTTCAGTATTATTTTTCTGTCCACTTTCCTTTCTATGCTGCTTCACAACCTTGCATTTGATTACGATTATTAAAGAGAAATGTAAAAATATACGTACTTGTTTTTGGGGTTAAATACACAGATATTGCAGTAATAGGATCATGACTTGGATCGCGGTACAGTTCAGTTACAAGCAAATCATTGTCCTTCATTCTAAGAGGAAATTTCTGCATATCTGTAAATAATTTTGCACACAAATTAAAAAATGTATAATTGTTGTAAAATACTTAATCAATTTGTTACCATACCTATATAATAAATAGATCCATTATTGCAACCAAGTAATAGAAATGAGCCAGCTGTATCGAAGGATGATATAGGCACTACGTCCTGTATTTGCCAATGATGTGTCATGGCATGCCATACTCCAATCTTTCCAGTTGGAGATAGAGCAACTAACTGACTACCGATGAAAAACAAGTATTCGACACGGACATTTAAATTAAATGTGCCAATGTTAGTTTTTATGCCTTCTTCCGATACACTCCACAGGCGTACTTGACTACCATACGAAATGGCTACCATTTTACCATCCGTAACAGAACCCAACTTAGCATTGACCGCTACTCGTTCAATTATCGATTCGATATGTGGGCTTGTAAAAGCGTGCTGCCATCCTGACGAATCTTTCAAGCGATAACATGTTATAAAATGAGCATATGCAATAACTATCCAGTTATGATGTGCTTTTATGATTTGAACCCTTAGTGGATCTACCCATGTTGAAACTGCAGTACAAAAGGTCTTATTATGACACAAGAATTAGATATAGTAAAAAACATATCATATATAAATAAATTACCTTGTTGAGGGCCAAACACAAGACTCACATCATTTTTAAACAACTTATTTAAGTCTGCTGAATTATTTCTGACATGCCTTAAATCAAGGGATGGTGTGCGAGAATGTGGTAAGCCACGTTGTGAAACACGATAATCAAGTGAAGAATTCCGAGCATGTGTTGGTAATGATGATTTTTGGTTTTGTTGACCTAACAAACAAATTTAAATATGTTAAATTGTTTAATATAAAATATGAAGTGTCCATATAATTTAGTTTATATTATAGATTTTCCAATAATGATATAGAATAGTTTGATTTCTTAAATCAGTGTAAAGCACTCTGTATACATTTTTAGTTTATAGCATTTAGAAACATTATAAATTTACCAGTAGAATTAGTGCTTTGGGTAGAACAATTGCTGGAAGTATTATTAGATTGAGATGTAGTTGGAATATCTCCCCTAGTGACTGGAACAGGACCACTAACAAGCCTACCATGAACTGAGACATCGCTAACGCTGGAAGTTATACTCAGTGGCTTTTGTAATGGTATGCCTTTGAAAATATTAAAACAATAATGAAAAATTAATTCACAAACTGCAATAGGTTATTTATATAATAAATTTAATGCGAAAATAGAACTTACATGGAGGTGGCAAACAGCCATAGAACAAGACATCTCCACAGGATGATTGGGATAGATCCTCGCATAGCATCAAGCGTTTAACCAAAGGCGTTATACCATAGTACTCGGCTTCGTGTCGGAGCGTTCTTATGTCCATGTTTCTTAGATCGATATCTCTAGTTCTAAGATAATTAAGAATAATAGAAAACATTTTTGGGTCCCTATCTATGAAAAGTGCTCCATTTTCGTCTCGTCGGCTTGCAATACGATTGCTTAAAAGAGCAGTGAAAAACGAGTCCGGTATCCATGTCAATGTCTGTCGGGATGTGGAAAACCTGTAGCACAAAAAGAATAATATGGTTAATCGAAAAGATACATTGTGTAAATATGTGGATACAAGTAATATATGAATACCTGGTGCCACCCACGTTCAAGTGAACTATGTCTCCTACGTTAAATGAATGTGAAACAGCCATAGTTACCAGTATTATCTACTTTAACTTTTTGACATTTCATCCCCTAAGAGCGCCGCACTTGGGAACGGAATGACGGACACGAAAAACGTGTATATACATACATACACAACGATAGAAGTACGCCGGCTACGATTTCACCGTCGCGGTTCGCTGATCTACCACTTTCACCCAAAGGCAGAAGCGACAAATATAAGGTGCACTTTGAGTGCGTTACTCGTCATCTTTCATCGTTCTCCGTATCCTCCCGCTATCGAAACATGGCTGAAGAAAACCTTTCTATCGTAGTCAGACTACGAACAACTTGAAAGAAAGTAAGCTCAAAAACAAATCTTAGAATACTAAACTATTTTCGAAATGAAGGTAAAAGAATAGTTCCATCAACGTGGCGCTATAATCGATAGACGATTAACTTAGGTCGTAGCAGAGGTCATAGTTTCACTGAACGTGTCGTGCATTACACAGAACATAGCGTGTTAATGCATCGAGGATGAAAAACCAGTCAGAAATGACACACGGAATTAGACCCAATTCTGATTGATATATATTTTTTTTGTTAGTTTTCATCCTCAATGCATTGCGACGCGTTGACGCATCGCGCTCTATGTGACACTTGATGCGCTGAGTGGAACTCCGGTCTATGTGAATACAAGATTGACAGAGGACGATGCAGAGATGAGTTGGGAGATTGCTCACGGGCAGGGTCGCGCGATCGCACCCTATGCTGCCCTCTGATTTCGTACGTTAGCTTTCACCGTTTTTTGCCCCCAAGGGCGGCGCAACGAATTTCTGGTAGGGGCTCGCGCACTCGCGATGGCTGTGACATCTACTAGTTGCCGTTGGCGGCTCAC